GCAGTTGGAACCATCGCCATAGACAATGCACAGAAAATAGGGTTCAATTTGGCTCTGTAGAGCCAAAGCGAAATGAAGTCATCGAGGAACAAACCGCTGCAAAGGCACCATGCTGGGATCAATTAGGCTCTGCACCGTTTGGGTTCTGCCAAAACGGCGGATAGAGACATTGGGTTGAACGAAGGAAGCCCATGGGATGTTGTGCGAGTCAGGCGAGAAGTTGTGTAGTTTATGACATCGCTTCATGGAGTACGTCGGTTTCAGGAATGCTTCGATAGTGATTGTCGAGCGCATGAAACGCCGTCGGTTTCGCCTTTACCGTGAGCTGCGCGGGACGACGCTTCCACGACGGTCTATGCGCTGAGGTACTGCACATCAAACATTTTGTTGCGTACTTCACCTGTGGTCCCTCAGCGCCTAGCGGGCCACATACACAAACAGGCTCGTAATTTGCGTTTCCGTTTTCACGTTTATAGATGTAGATTTGCACAAGGGGCTATTTTTATGGCTGCATTTGTGCTTTACGGCTCGTTGGGCCCCCGAGGTTACACAATGAATGTCGCGTACAATGATCAGTCCTCCGGCCCCTCGAGCATACAGAACTTAGCGTCCACCTCGCCTTGGCAAGAGCATCGGCGTCGTCGAGCAAAGTTCGTTTTCTGCCTACTCCAGCGCGCCTGGCTACCACTCCCCGGACTCTGCAAGTCTGTACTGTCTTTACGTATGCGGGGCTGTATTTACGTATTGTTATGCCCGTTTACGCGTAAAACGTGCATACGACCAATTTTTAAGGAAAATGACGAACATGTACACAAATGCTAGCACAACGCCGTGATTGCCCACGCTCTGGACCAACGACTCGACAGCGATGCATCGAGGAGACAGCGAGAAGAGAAGAAGAGATATCAATTAATTAAGAATCAATTAAGAATACGTGCGGGTTCACGACTGAATCGGTACCTGAGACGCAACCAGGGGGTCTTACAGGTGGCACAACAAACCCCCCATGCATGGCCACACTCTCCACTACCCACATCTACAAATCCGCAACGCAAAAGGTAACCTCTCCAACTACAACGGGGCAATTACCGTCCCCGCGGCACATCGCGGGCGTCATGAAGAGCACGAGCGGAAGAAAAAGACACGGCTTGGCGTTCTTTGGCTGCCTCCCCCTCCTCCTTCCCAGGCGTTCCTAAGCTACAGCAGCCACGCAGCTCTCGATCAAAACCGCAGAACAATGGCCATGAGCTGGACAAGGGATTTTCGTCGCTGAGTCCCTCCTCAAGGGGGCGCACTGGCCATAGCATCCGCGACTGGAGGCCATCGCTCGCATTTCGACACAACCGGCCACTCCTGAGCACCGTGAGAACAGGCGCTGTTGCGCCCGACCATTGCTGCGGGAATCTGCAGCGGCAGCGCCTTCGATTGCCTTGAATCGAGTCGTCCACGTTGGATCGGATGGGACAGCGAAGCGAGCTGGTAAGTCAGCACAGCCGACAAGAATCTACACCAAACTGGACGCCCCGTGGCCCGCCATGGCGTCAGCCATGGTCAAAGCGCACCACCACCGCGGTGATGTCGTCCACAACGCCCTCCTCCTCCACCAGCCACCTTTGGTAGGCCTCGTCAACGAGCTGCAAAACGCCAGATTCAGTACGTTAACGTGTTCATCCGCCATTCCAATGATCCGCAACGCTGGTGGAAAATGGCCAGCATTAATGCCTCGGTACACAGGCACAAGCATAAGTGTAGGCGGTTTGATTCCGTTGCCCTCCTCTCTGCTGCGGTTGCCGTCAGCCGATATGCATACCGAAGGACCTGGGTCATTGTCCTTAGCTCTGCCTTTGAGCAAAGCAGCTGCTCACCAAAAATCATCCATTTAATAATTCCGGAGATCAGTGAAAGGGAGTGGAGGCCTGGCAATGCGGTATGGTTGCCACATGATGCAACTGTGCTGCGGATTTCAGTAGGTTCACATGATTTAATGTCGATGAAAACTGCTGAGTATATCCCTGTACAACAGAGACCCCCAGGGACATATTGCTCAGGGTTTGGGCCGAATTCTCTTTGTCTCTTATTCTTGAGACAAAATGATGATCGTGTTCCTAGAAACAATGGCGGACAGTCTGGCAGCCATACAACCTTCACCAGAATGTGCATTGACAATCAATACGAGAAAGCGCACAGGCGCATGGGTGCATGTCGGTGTTACCGCGTGGCTGCAGCGCCAAAGCGACTGTATTCCAAAGGATTTTCGCTGCCCTGGCTGTCGCTGCCTATGAAAGAAGTTTCTTCTGTACGGCTCTCAGGCAACGGGGTCCATTAGCCACCCAATGACGCCAATGTGGTCCAAACCGCCCACCGCAATCTTGCGACACAGACCTCTATAACGTTAGAACCACTCCTTTGCCTGAAAATCTGGCAAGGGACATATATATCCTGAGGGACAGGGGCACTGACCTCACGGCAGGCGTCTTCCACGCTGCCGGACCTGGCAACTATCTCCACCGCCTCTTGATTTGTCACAAACTCCCAGACACCGTCCGTCGCCAATATGACAAAGCGATCCTCCGGCGTCAGCTCATGGACGCTGATGTCAGGCCGGGATGAGACCCCTACCCTGGACAGGCCGGAAGAAGTCAGCTTGAGTGGCCCTCACGAAAGCCAATGCCCGCAGTTCAGCGTGTCTGACAGCTGCGCAAGTCGCAGTATTTTGAGGGTACAGTCAGGCTTTTGTCACGCGGCTCGCATGCGGCTGTCGCAGGGACTAACCCGGCATATTGATCAATAATATCAATTTTAATCAGGAATTTCCGTTTCCGGCGGTGGGCTCCACAACCGGGAAAGGAATCCCTGCCTGAGATTTCCCATTCAAGCACTTGTGCTGTTGCTGCTCTATCCCCCTCGGTCCATATCGGATTCAAACTCAGGGGAAGGCGTTCCGTTGAAATGAATGCGAATGGGTAGCCGCACCCCTTGCTGGATCTCAATGCAGTTCAGGACTCAAGGCGGGATAGTATCCTATCAACATCAGGCAGGATGCGCGTTGAGTGAAATGGACGGAATCAATTGATCGATGAATCACAATGTGGGCCCAAGCAGTCTGTACACTCCAAGCCACACTTAACAGTGCTGCAGGATGCCGTGGTATCTTCAACCCTTCCGAATCAAAAGATTGTACCGTTACGCTTTTTGCTCCGCATTTTTTCCAGAGCGTTATTTCCAATTCTTTTACGTTGCTCCGCAAGATTCTATTAACAGAGCGTTACGTATTTCTAGTTTTGTTCGCCCAAAAAAGGCCAAGCGTTACATTACTATGCGGAAGGGTTGAAAATATTACGGTAGGCGTTGGGCATTCAGCGCAGTCAATAGAATATTAGTGATGGGACCGCTCGGGCAAAACTCTGCAAATCGTAATACAAAATCAACTGGCACGGCCAAAATAACGCCGCGGCGCGATCCTACACCTACGAGTGAGCCAGAACGTCCCCAAGAGCTCTGCTCATTGCCAGCCCTGGAATCCTGGCAGACCAAACAATGGCTGACGTCACAACATGCAGATCAAAGTTGGTTCAGCATATGCACAAAATAATATCGCCGCCCATGGCTGCGTCTGCATTGGGAATACGGACACTAAGTTTTCAATTGGGAAAGATGTTCAGCATGCACAAATCCAAGAGATCCGTACTGCGTCTAAGCAAATGGGGCTCGGCGATCTGTCATACAATACCTGTGGAGCCAAATTGAAAAGATCCCATGGATCCTAACTCCCAAAAGTAGCTTTAAATGCGATAATATAAAAAACAGAGTTGTTATTATAAATGTCCCTATCAAATGCGACTACGGCAATACAAAGCTCTGCTGTTGCTGCACAGAGCATTTTGGATGTTTGCGCTGTTGCAACAGAGGAGTTGCCGCGGAATTGCTGCGACCAGCGGGAGCACTGATGCAGCGAAACTGGTGCCGACGCTCCGATGGTATTGCCAATGAACGACAGCTCCGTTATGCGCAGAAGCCTCACGCAAGCCATGGAGACATGTACACGACCGACCAAAACCCCGTCACCACGACCACCAGCAGACGTTGCTGACCGGATTTTACGTTAGTCCTAACGAATTGCACGCAACAGCGCAGTGGGGATCGTTTTGATGATCCCACTTGGTGGAAGGCACTCTAGCAGCCGAGATCCCCCATTTTCTCGTATACAAGATCTCATTTCGTCTGCTCTTATCACTCTTGCCGTGTCGGCCCTGTTCCCTTCAATGGCATCTACATCACCACACAGTGCAGAAAACGATGTGCAGTGACCACCGGACGGTTGCCTTCTGTTTGACCTGTATTCTGGACTTGGAGGAATAGATAATTGGTTCGACTCACCAGGCACACTGAATCCATATCCGATAGGGTCCAATGGGCTGCCCAGTTTCGTCAAGTAGCCTGCATCCCACACCACAAATACGCACAACACAAGCACATTCATAATTCAGTACCAGAACAACTTTGCTGCGTACGCATAATTTATATCATCAATCCGAAATTCCAATTCCCATCTGCATCGCCTGTGCCGCCGTGATCATGCTCATGAGCAAAGTGTTTGCGCACCCCAAAACATTGGACCGTTGTGGTTTCCATTTTCAACATTTTGAATGTTTGCAACACAATTTTCGGATACTGGCTTCTATGCACCCAGATGGAAATATTTTTTCATTACATTCGGCTACAAGCCAGTTTCCCTAAATCACATATGGAGAACGGAGCTTTTTGGGCACCATAAAATGTGCCTGGAACATGGGTGTCTACATCGTCTACAGTGTGTTGCAGCGCCCCTTCAGCGAAGCAGCAACATTTAAACGCAATTGGTCCCTCAGCCAGAGCGGAAACAATTTTTGCGAAGACTTTGGCAAGAAGTTTATCCGCATCTTTCGTAGGGTCATTTAGAGAGCCTACGACACTGCATTATCGTTAAGCGCCGTCAGCGGCCTATTTCGATGCACTCTAGATCACCTTTCGACCCTTCCATTGGCCTCCAAGATCCTCTCTTTTTCCCCTGGATCAATAGGTTTGTGGTCACTTGTCAGGGCTACAGCTTGCATCGGGCCGCCTCCCTCCCCCCTGCCGATCACCGCCCTCGAATCGCCAACCCATCCAGTGGTCAACGTATTCCCCTGCCCAAAAAGTTAATTTATCGTTAATTAAGCCTATTTCTAAATATGTTTTTAATTCATCGTATATTTAATTTTCAGGATATTTGGCCGATGGAAGGACAGCTCAAGAATCGTTTACAGCCGTTTCTGAACAGTTCTTACTATTTTGCCTTTCTTTGTGACTGTTATGAACCGCTGCATGACGCAGTAGACAATAAAATACACGGGTGAACAAATATGCAAGTTTGAAGGTCAGGTAGCCAAAATATCACTCGATCAGTCCGTGCGATTCTATTGCAAGGAACTTTGAAAAAAAGCCGCGGCACCTGCAGCCATTCCAACCTTCAGCATTTTGAAACGCTCAGAGGGCAAACAACGCGCACAGCTGTTTGGGATGCCTCGCGAGGCAAACGGTTTGCCACACAGTGATGTGCTCAACGTGTTTGCCACCAATCACGCCAATACATTACTTCACATATGGCACCAACAATTGAAATTTAGTGCGCATTACACACAGGTATTGCAATGGAAAAATCGAGGCAAAGCGGGAAAAAATCATTTGCTGAAGCTGGAACCAAATGGCGTTGTCCTGACCCTGGTGTTGTTGCCATTTTCCATCTGTATGGTGACGCCCTTGCCCCTACGCCCGTTGGACGGATGAGCAACAAACAGCGCAGCAAAGTTCCCTGCCTTGGGTGTATGCACATGAAGCCAACTTCGCTCTTTGTCTCCCCGCGAAGGGATGCTGCGCAAACACCGTGCAGGCGGTGCTGCCCAGCCGCAAATGAAGTGCGGTATCATTTCAAAAACAGTGCCACAAAGTTATTTGAAGTGCAAACCCTTGCGCCATTGCTTCCCCCCAAGACACTGACTCTTCAGAGTTCTCACAATGGGGTCCGACGTGTCCAAATTGTGGCAGGGGCGTGCACCTTCGGCGTCGCCGGTGACGGCCGGGGCGTTCTTGTCTGAAGTACATTAGTCGCCTCCGGCAACAACGGCCATTAGTCACCTCCGGCAACAACGGCCATTAGTCACCTGCAGCAGGCTGACGACAGCGGTGGTGCCGCTGAATTCGCAGTCCACCGAGGGTGTCTTGGTCATGGCCGCGTCCACTTGCAAGAAGCCCTTTGTCAGAGCTACCCCCACGTCCTCGTTGTTGCTCAGCTGCGTCACAAGATTCAGCGGCAAGTGGTGTTTCACGTAAGAGGACGCTAGGTGCCCTAGGCACAGAAAAGCACACAATTAATGAAAATGAAATATGGACAGGGTGCCGAGCACGTAAAAAGGAATGCGCACAAAATCACAGCACCCAATGAACAGCGACTGATACGCGGAGAGTTGGTGTGGGATATGTGTGCCATGTCTTGGCAGCAATGCCTTTTCAGCATCAAGCAGCAAAAGAAACATATTGCGCTGCCTTGCACCCGCAAGCGCAGCCGTTTGCATTCCTATGGTGTCCTGTCCGTTCTTCTGCTGGGGTGAGAGAGCTGTCATGGCTTTTGCGCTCTTTGAAGTTTTGCCTACCGTGCTTTCTTCGCCAGTGTGTACTGAAGCCTTGATCAGCAGATCATAAAGCCCATCAGGCACGCTCAGATGCATAGATTATTTGCATTTGCTCAAACTCATCACTTTAGATCATGTGTTGTCACGCAGTTTTGCACGACTTGGTCAGAAATCAATGCGTGCCGAAAAATAATTTTGGGCGCCTTTGGTGCAGGAGGGACTGGCCTTGACGCAACTATGTCATTGGCACACTGGCGGGAATAAATGCAAGAATGCTCCGGTGGGAATGCTGGCAAATGTCATCGTTTCTGCCACCATTCCTTCCATATCGCTACACAGGATTGCTGAATCGACGGTATTCGCACCGTTTGGCCCGTGCCCGTCGAAGGTTCCAAACAACGACTGGTGGTGCTGAATGTACTTCTCAAAGGCAAAGCAATTGTCCTGGTTGGTTTTCTTGAAGCCCGGCTCACGACCGCCCCGAGACAGGCATGCCACTTTGAGGCCGGTCCCTCCAAACTTCTGCGAAGGCAAGGGCACCATTAACAAGAAAAAGAATCTGTCTATTGCCACCAATATCAGTCAGATATATCAGTCAGATCTCCATGCAACGGCGAATCGCACTAGGACGACAGGCGATGAGGCTAGGTGACAATTGACCGTTTCCCTTCAAATTGTCTTGAAAGTGACACAATGTGACGCACATCTGAGGTGCCGCAACCGCAGTGTCGGCGGCATATGTGGTTTCGAAATAGAGCCAGCAGAAGAGGTTGAACTTTATACAAACAGGATTGCAGCCTTGGGTCCACGCCCACCCAACACCCTTGGGCAATGTTTGGCTTCTGCTGAGTTCCCATCGAAGTGAACAAGGCAACTGGCTAGCTGCGTAGCGTATCGCATACAAACACCAATATGCGCTGACATCAGATACCCAATCATGGCATGCCTTTACTGATGATGCGATCAACGGAAGCGCCAACGAGACCCACAGCTACGGCGAATCTCTTTCCCATTACCGTGTCTTGAAAATGCAAAGGCCGCCGCGTTGGGTACGTTTTCAGACAAAGATAATCATGCTCGACGGCGATGAGCTCATTCCAGACACTTGAACAGTTCAAGTTCAACTCAACGGTGACCCGCTTTTGGGAGGACACTTTCGTTCAATCGTCCTGAATGCCCAGGGAGACATTACAGTAATGAAGGGAGATGAACAGCGCGGATGCAGTACTGAGCGTCAACGCCTTTGAAGCTCTAGATTTCATTGTTCAAATTGACTTTCGAAAGACAGAGCGGGGTCCTTGCGCTTTCCGGTGATGACGCGTATGTACCCTTCAAAGATCTCTATGCTGTCTCCCCTTTTGAAAGCGCGGGAACAGTGACCTGAGCACCTCCAGGCAATTGTGGCAATGGGAGTGGGAACGGTGTATTGCACAAACGTGTTCCCCAGCAACGCGCAACATTCACTTTTGCGTTCTGTTTTGTGTATGTTGCAGTACGTTGTGTGCGGCCCCAGCAACACGTAACATGTACGTGGTGCTTCCTTCCACAGCGTCTTGTCGTTGCCAGCACGCTGTGTGAAGGAGAGCACAGCCTGGGTGGACTCTCTCGTGGCAAGAGCGCCCGACAAAAATTTGGTGTCCCAAGGACCTCGGTGAAGTGGGGGTTGGATGAGCGACTTCCACGAAATGGGTTTTCGTGCCGTGCTCACCTCGGTGTGTTTCGAATCTGGCGTCACGAGCTTCAGAGCTTCATGTTCGCTTGTGCAGTCAAGCCCAGGCGGAGGGCCAGGGCTGGCGTGCTGCACACAGCAGGGTGATAGCGTTAGGCAGGAAATTCTCTGCAACGCAGACGCAGGTCGGACAGACCCCGCCAAGCCGCCCAGGCCCGTGTTCTCACTGCTGCATAGAATTGCGCAATTCCTGATGCATTCACAGGCCCCTTCACACGAGCCCCACTGCACTGCAGCAATAAGCATCAAAAATTGCGGCGCGTGAACCTGTGAGAAGAGGGTTGTTGAAAACCCCATGGGCAAAGCGCCCTCGTCCTTCCGACAGCCGCAGACCACTCCAGGCCGTTCCTCCCACCAACACCGCCGGCCAATTTTCAGAGCCGAATTCGCCCCGAATGTGCACACCCCCTCCCCTGGCTCCGCAGCCCAAATCACCCCGCCACACCGCGCCAGTCTGTGTCCCACCGCCGTGGACAGCGTCCGTGGGCAGCCACCAGACACCTTCCCCTTCCCGCGCAGCCCGCAGGCAGCGCACGAACACCTTCCCGGCCACACCCCACCGACCCACCCACTCACGTCGCTGTCGCTGGCCACGTGCGAGAGCCGCCTGGCGCGCGTCCTCCTGGCCGCGCCGCTGCGTTGATCCGCCCCTCTCTGCCCCTGCCGCAGCCGCCAACGCAATCAATCCGCGGGCGCCACACCCACGACCACCCCGCCGATCCCGCCACACCCGGCCAATTGAGTCTTGCATACACTGGGACGAGGTGCCCTATGTTTGACCTGTTTCTCTTCGAAAGACAAGCAGGCTGTTACAGAAACAAATGCTTTCCGCAACAAGTAGAGATTTGTTGAGATAAGATCAAGATTCGTAAGGATAAGATTTGTTAAGATATCCCCCCCGCCGACGCGGCCCGCCGCCGATCGGCGGCCGTTGTCGCGCCATGATCGACCCCCACCCCCAAACGAGCGGCATCCCCGCAACCGCCCCGGGCGCCCCCGTCCCACCTGGGCGCCGGCCGCCTCGTCATCGTTGTCCACGTACGACAGCCTTCTCGCCCGCGAGCCCCGGGACTTGCGCTGCCTGGAGTCCATGCCCTCCGCCGGCCCTGCGCCATCGACGCGGACCGCGCCCGCTCCGGTCAGACGGCCGCATGATTCCATCCAGTTCCATCCCCCTCCCCAGCCCCGAGATCGAGATCCCCGATCCCCAGATCTCGATCGCTCACCTGCATCCTTGACGGGCGCCGCTGGCGCGCCGCTGGCCGGCGCCTTGCCAGCCGCGACCGCCGCGGTTGACTTCGGGTCCTCCGCCGGCAGCGCCGGGATACTGGAAACGCACCCCATATTTCAGAAGGGGCCCACGGGGCCGCGGCATGCCCGGCGGCCGCTCGCCAGCGCCGTGGGGCCCCGTCGGCCGCCTACCCGCCCGCTGACGACCGGACGGGGCGTCAGGGCCATGCGCTCCGGGGCACGCGGCGCCTTGGCGGGATTCGGGGCGGGCGCGGCGATGTGTATCGGTCGCACCGATACGGGCGGCGTCGGGGCGGAATGCAGCCGCATACGGTCGCCAGACGCCGCGGGCTTCATGGCAACGACGAACTCGGAAGCGTTGACCCGTTGAGCGCGTGGTTTACCGTCGTCGAGAATTCTCACATGTGTGTGCGATGCCACCCGTCCCGAGACCAACGATTCCGAGGGAATTAGGGCGCCGTCAGCTCCCTGTTTCATCATCATCATGATCTTTTACAGAACAAGGCAATGAGGTAGCCGTCAGGCTGACGTCAAGCTGGCGTCCTATTTTGAATGAGCAAAGCAGAGTCGGTGATTGGTTCATTGGAATCTAATGAGAAATACAAACTAAATCTATGACTCCCTGTTTCGCCCGAGCAAAGCAATGTCCGTGACTCGTTTCGTGACAACCTAAAGTACTGCCACAATCCAACCACTGAGTTGTTGTGCACAAGAACACGCAATTCGCTAATTTGGTATCATCAAACAGCCTCAACCCATTGTTCGCAATTTCCAAGCGTAGAAGCTCCTGGAATGCCGTCAAGTAGTGGTAGCTTATCGCACAGGCAATTGATACGATCAGCAATTAGTAAAGAGATGGGCTCGTTTTCACAGGATTAGTGTGGGGTGGATGCAACAGGCCGGTGTTTCGACCATCGCAGTGTGGGGAGTCAAAGGTTGAAGCGGTGAGCGGCTGGGCCCACCATATATGAACCGTGGCACAGCGGACATGCACAACGGCTGTCCTTTGGGCTTCGATTCGGTAACCATCCATGGCTGGCCGCCACAACGAAAGCCGCCACGGCTTTTCGTTTGCCACGATAATATGGCCCTTAAGGTGAGAAAGCACAGAAACCGGGGTTTTCATTGCCTGGTTTGTGCCTTCCTTGCTAGCAGCCTGTTGATGTAACCCATTGGGATCCCTGCAGGACAATTCCACCCGTCACTGCACTGCACGCAAAGACCTCTGCATCCAGAGTGAATGTTCCTCTCCTACTGTGCATTTCTCGTTATAATCATTGAGTGCATTATTCAAATCTAAATTTTTCTTCCAGAAAACTGATCGACAGGGAACGGACGTTGTTTTGGCCGTGTAAGGGTTAGCGACCACAACATCCCAAAAAACGGCAGGTGCCATCAAAGTACGGCAGCGCGTTGGGATCTAAATCTAAAATGGCGTTTGCACAGCATAGGCGGACTCAAAATTGCTGTAAAATTACCATACGCTGAGGTCGTCCACCCGGCGCTTGCCCACGCTGGTCACCCGCGGTATTTGTACCGTCAGGTATGTTTTCCACTGGATGTCCCTGCCTATCGCCTGTACAGAGACGTCCCCGTCTGACGCATATCGATATGCGTTGCAGGGCAGATGCCGAATCGCGGGGCCAATGCCAGCCGGGAAGAGCCTGTCGAACATCAGAAACAATGCGCTGTGCTTGCAAACGAGGCCAGAATCCTCGCTTCAAGCCCGCAAGCACACGCACGTTTGTGGAAACATAAACGTGGCTGTCAGCTTTGGCCTTCTGTGAAGGAGACTGGCAGCCAACAAAGTGCTCGCTACTTCAATCGCTGTTGAGGGCCTCACCGGAGAGCCGCAGAGTACAAACCGGCAGCAATCACGCACGACAGGGCATTGCGGCCCGTCCTGTACTGGGAGCACGTCAAACAACATGGAGCAACGCGGGGGTATAGAGCAGAGGTGACACCAACCATGGGTGCGAAATGAACAGCTAACTACCGCTGAAAACATAAGCCCTTCATTGACCATAAAAAATCCCATTTCGCACTGTTGCATTCTCTGCTTAGACAATGTGTAAACGTTCCAACTATTAACATTGCAGCAAAGTACGTGCGAAAAATACATACAGCAATACTGGGACTAATTACCACAATTAATGCAACCATTCAATGCCGAAAGCCGTGACACGGTTTCCAGCATTAGATGTTTGCCTGAATTCTTCTGATTTTTTATCAATACCATTGTCTAACACATTTTTACACTGGAGCCCGTGATGAATTGGGACCAAGTTGTGCCATGTCCACCGCACTTCTGGTGCACGTTCCTGCAGCGCCTCCCAGCCCGCATTCCGCACTCGCCCGGGCGGCAGCCAGGCAAGTCTGGGCCGTTGGCCAGAATGCCTCCAAACTTCGCGCCGGGGCGAGAAGCAGAACACGAACGCACGGGGAGGGGGCCAGCAAGCGCCAGGCTCAAGGCACCGACCGCACCGGCGGAAACGGGGCGCGAAGAGCCCAGACGCGGAAGCAGACCGTGAGGGGGCGTCCGGGCGGCATCGGCACCCTGGCCCACTGTCCCAATGTACTCCCCGGGCCCGCCCGCCCATCACCGCCCCGATCAACCCTCTCCCATCGCTCCCGTTGCCGCCCATCGCTCTCCCCCAGATGGTGGCCACCGATGATGGCTTTTTGGCCAGGGTGCCATTCAGACGACCAAATGGCACCAGCGGGACGACAGCACGACAGCACCCTCCAATGAAGATACTCCGGGGCCATCTACAAATCCTCCAGCCTGTGCACTGTGTCCCCCGCTCCTGAAAAAATCTGCCGTCCCTGACGCCAAGGGACCCTGCCGCGGGGCCCCCGTCCGGTTCCCGCAAGGCCGGTTCCCCCTTCGCCATGGGCTCGCCCTGCCGCCCCGGCCCGCCCCCCACCTCCAACAAGAACGCCTATGCGGGCGCCAACATCGGTGTGCCCTGGTCGCCGCTGGAGGGCGTGACCAGCCTGGACCCGCGGGACTACGTGTGGGCGCCAGTCCCGCCGGCCCCGGGCGGTCACGCGGGCCCGCAGGCCCTGCAGGCCGCGTGGTGGCACCTGGGGGCGATGGCGATGCTGCAGGGAGGGCCGTCCGGATGGCCCGTGCCCATGCCGCCGGGGCTGGCCATGCCGGGGCTGGCCAGGGCGGCGATGCCGGCGTGCATGCCAGGTGGGGTTGGGGGGTGGGGGGAGCGCGGGATGGGCGCAGGGCCGATCGGCAGAGCGACCGGAGGTCTCGCGCGCGCGGCCGTCTCCTTTCGGCGCTTGCTGGGCTGCGCGTTTGGTTGCGCGTGTTTGGTTTGGCCTGGGGATTTGGATCGAAGCCGGGATGGGACGGGTGTGTGGGGTTGGGGTCTGGGGAGCGGGACGCGTCTGGAGTCCCTCGGCCCCGTGCTGTAGTCAGAAGGCGCCCGCCCGTGCCGTTGGCGCGGACCGTGGGCTTGTCTGGGCGTCGGGAGGCGTGTACCCCTTCGAAGTGGGCAGTGCCTCCGGGAGCCGGTACCTTGGACAATGCATGCGCCGCCCTCGTGCGCGCTCCTCGGACCTCGCGCCCCGGGCCTCGAGCCCGCAGACGCCTCGCGGCTGGCGCCCTCTCCCCGCGCTGACGCGGAGGCGCGCCGCGGTTGGCGATCCTAAACCTACCACCCCGCGTGCGTCCCGCCAAGGCGGCCCCCGTATGTCCTGGCACCCCGCCGTCGATCGCCTCTTTCCTGCGCCACGGCCTTGAACGCTGCGCCTTGCCGACCTTTTACACTCGCCGCGCTCCAGGCGGCGCGGCACGCCCGGCCGCCGCTTCTGGTCTGGGCAGCTGAGGAATGCGCGTCTCGTTGTGCTGAAGGGCTTTCCTGTTTGGTTCTGCCTGGGCAGGGTTTCCCATTCAGTATCCCGGCATGTGGAACCCGCTGCAGCAGGTGGTGCCCGCCCAGATGCACGCTCAACAGCAGCCATCGGCGGACGGCACCCCGCAGGGGAAGGTGAGACACGCTGGACAGCTGTCGGTGCCGAATTGACCATCCAGCAGTCCTCATGGCCGTAACTGTGGGGCGTGCAGCTGGCCCCTGTGATCTTTGCATTTTCGTAGGGTGAGCGGTGAGTCGATAAGCGCGCTAATGAGCAGAACAGGTCGCACAATGGGTGCCCTCTGGAACAGGAATTTTGAAAGCTTGTGGTCCACTGGTTGCACGCACGTAGATTTGCGAGAGGTCGTGCTTTGGACCAGCTGGCCTGGTTCTGTTTCCTCATTCCTTGAGTGGGGACTGCGAGTCTAAAACAAGTAGTGGACTGTTATACTCGTTGGCCTTTGTTCACCAGCTCTCACGTGCAAGGAATGCTGCTCTGAATCGCTGCCCATGACCGGCCACCCTCCTTCAGCCCGTCGCTTCCTTCATCCTCGGCTTTGTGCTGCCTTTGTGTCACACGATGCACCACAAGGAAACTGTGCAACAGGAGGGAGCACTCTGCCCTGTCCAAAGTATGCTCAGTCGTGTCCCGTTTTGGCAATGCTGTGGGGGGCACTGCTGGAACAGTGAACCAACAAATACTCATTGTGTGGCCAGCAGACTCTGGGGATGTCAGCCGAGCCTGCAAAGAAAACCGCAGGGGGCAAGTCAGTGGACGTCCAGCAGACGAAAAAGTGCATGCAAAAGCAGAAGAAGGGCAGTGCTGAGGCGTTGCTGCCCGAGGGCAAGTGCTCTGAAGACTTCTTGGACTGCATGATGGATCTGAATGACGAAGACCTGCAGCAGTTGTTGCAGGAGCCACTTGGCACCTTGGCCAACGGCGGCAGCCAACTGGACTCCCCGGTGGGTGATTTGCACTGTTGAACTTGCTAATTGTTGGTGATCCAAAGACAGATAGTGCTTATTTTCTCATATTGCCTCCAAGCCGCTTTACTCCAGTGTTGGCCATGTCCAGCTGAGTGAGCTTAATCAGGCCAAAGGCAGTTGCTGCAGGCAAGAACTCATGGAAAGTATATCAAGGAATATTTCTTTCTGGGTGTTCCTTGCTGGGTGTTGGGCATTGTCCCATCGTGTGCTCTTTTAACAGGTGTTCAGGTTGCCCATTCAAGAATCCAGCTGGTGGTAACTGTATGTTTCTCAGAAACCTCAGCTACAGTGCAGATCATCTTGAGAAGGCATCGCATTTGTGGGGCTGCTTCTGCATGGACCATCGGAGAGCCACACCACCTGTGCTGCTGATCTGTTACCAGTTAACCCCAGAATCGTGGCTTTGAGGTTCAGCGGCTGTTGCGCAGAATAGGGAAGTGTCCCCAACAGGTCATACTCCCCTGTTGGTACCAACACAATAACAGTCTGTGCATGTTGTTGCCTGCCAAGAAAATACACCTGATTTGCTGGTTGACAACCTGCTTTTGCAGTTCATACTTATGTGTTGTTTTCAGCTCTGCTTACAGCTGCACAGAGCCTATTTATGCAGTTTCGGATATGAATTATTGAGCCTGACAAATCCCTTTTCGTTGTGCAGGTTGGAAGCCCTATCAATGTGGTGTCCGACAGCAGCGATGCCAGCTCCTTCAGCATCCAAAAGTCACCCTCATGTGGCAGTCAGCACTCAGAGACGCTCCCAGATGACAGCATGCTCTTCCTGGAAGGCTTGGACCTTTCATGCCTCAAGGAGGTGAACAGCTTCCCTGACCTCACTGAACTGGAGTGCCTCAACTTTGACACGGCCTGTGAGGAGGGCATGGGGAAGGCCTCCAAGGCGACCAGCCAGCTGAAGAAGAAGAAAGGGGGTGGGGTGTCAAAGAAGAAGGCCACCAAAGACAGAAATGCAGTGCCAACGTTTGTTGACGATGAGTGCCTGAAAGAGCTGGAGCGGATGCTGGGGACAGGACCAAGGTAGGGGCACTTGTGATATGCACAGGCGTGTGCTGAGCTTTTGCTGCTGGCCACATGAATTGCCCACCAAATTTCCACAGCAGGCACTATAGCTCCCTGTTTGGAAAGTGCAAGCTAAATCATTAGCTTTGTCCTCTTCGCCTTTCTGGTTTTGTTGGTGGAACTATGAAGGGGTTAGCACATGGGTTCTTCTGGACAAGGTAATGTTTGGGTTGTGTGTGCTTTGTGAGATCCCTTTGAACACAGAATCCTTAGCATTTAAGGTGGCTTGGCTTGTGTATGATTTTGCTGTGGAGCACACAGGTGGGGCCTCTGCTTACAGTCAGACTGATTTCAGTTAGTCCTTTTGTTTCCAGACTGGCTTGATCCGATTTGTCAGGAAACCCACAGCCACTTGCTAGTCATTCACCTGGTTGTTTGCTGCTCACTGGGGGCGTTGGGGACATGGCAGGACCCTTGTTCAGCTCATCCTGTTTACGGTGTGGCTCATCACTCTCCATAGTCGTAATCCGATATCCTAAACCTTCCGCAGGCGCTGTTCTGCACAAGCTGCCATCATGTTTGGGTTGTGAAGCATATGTGTGTTTGGTGTGTGTGTGTTCCGCAGCGCCGAAGCACTGGGCAACAAATTGAAAGGCACCAGTTCGTCACCCAGTGCCGATGTGGCAATGACAACTGGTAATGAGAAGATGAAAATAGCGAAAAACGTTCGAAAGAGCGGCAGCCGGAAGGCAGCCAAAACTTCGTGATGCATACGAAGTGTGTGGGCTCTGGCTTATGACAGGGATTTGGGGAATTGATTGATATGGGTCAAATACTGATGTGGGGATTGTTGAATCTTTCATTGGGCCCTCCTGCCGTTGACGGGCTCTGTTCGGTGGTCACTTGCAGATTGCAGGGGATGTCGTTCAGCCTTGCCTCAGCGTTGGGTTCAGTGGGATTGTGACGGCCTGAACCATGGGGGGTGGCAGCCAGATATGTCTTCATTGACTTGGGATAGGGATTTTGATAGCATTTGTCTTTGTTTGTTGGTTTGTTTGTTCCTGCAGTATGGAGGCATCCTCGTGAGGGCCCGTTGCTAGTGCTCCATGCGTGTTATGGTGCAATCTGTGGGCAAGTCGTGTGAGCATAGCAGCTGTTGCAGAGACATGGTGGCCAGATGTGTTTTGGTACACGCTGTGTGTACAGTTTCACTTTGTTAGGCCACTGCTTTGCGGGTGACCAGCAGGGTTGTGTGGGTGTACATGTGTCACACTGCAGAAGTGTCTGGTTTCTAGGGACGTGGGCTCCCTCTGCAGGGAATGGGTCGCAGAGGGCGTTCAAGGGCTGTAAATGGAGAAGAAAAAACTGACTGGTAGATGTACAAGTGGGGTAGGGGTGTCGCATGGCACCAGTGGCACATGAGGTGGGCGGCAGCGAAATTGCTTCTTCTGTTCATTTGCGTGTTTTGATTGGGTGTGTCTCTTGGCACCATAGCTAAAATTTGTGCAAATTTTGGAGGGCTGAACAGGAGTGCTGGTCACTTGCCTTTGTCTGTGCTGCTGGCCGTCTGTGAGCACTCCTTACAGGGGCTTTTCTTGGGTTGTGTATTAATGGGTCTGTGCCACCATTGAATTTGGTTCCCTGCTTGTGGGTGCTCCTTTGTGCTGCGGAGCAGGAGGCTTGGAGGTGGGGGAGTCTGGGGGTCACCCCGACTAACACCCAATCTCCTCCCAGCACACGTTTTTTTGCAACCCCAGCTTTTGACACCGAAGGACGGCAAATGGGGAGAACAAGAATGGAGGGAAACGAATGGGCACGGTCCCTTGTGACGTGTTGTGATCATCACAAAGTGATGTGCTGGGTGGGTGTCGGCTGGAAGTAAGTGACTGTTGCGACTCTGGTTGATTGGTGCTCGATTGAGAAGATAAACAGTATGTTGTGTCGAACGTTGTGAACCTATCACGTTATGGTGCACCTAGCGGCTGAGGTTCGCTGAGGGGTTAAGCGCAGAGCACCTGGTGCAGTGGTCAGCTTTACCGTTCAGGTGAAGACTAATTTTTGGCTTGTATGTCGTGCTCTGTGCTGTCCGCGGCGATTTTATGTGCTGTCAGTGCTCTGCTTGGCTCTCAGTGCGGAGCACTATCTGCTGGAGAGTCTGCCCCACGTGGTGGTGTCTGGATGCCAAGACGAGAAGAGAAATGAATGGGCTTTTGTTTCCTGGAAGCGCACAGGAGGTTAGTCTCAAAGACCTTCTCCCTCGGCCTGTTGAGGTGGAGCAATATTGAACAGTTGGCTCGACCAACACAGCCAACTTAGTTTTGCTGGCGCCAGTAAGCGATTTGGATGGCGCCCTGGGATGCTCAAGGGCCAGGTGTGTTTCTATGGTAGGATTGTGATGATACTCCTGCAAAGCTGGGTGGGTTATTGAGCGACGTGGTTCTCAGCCAAGGAGGCATGGAACATTTGAATGCGGCTGGACCCAAGGGGCCCATTTGCGACGTGCCCAAAGGGTGCGTGCTTGTGGATTGACGATTTGCATCTTTACTGATGACAGCTGTTTTGAGGGCCGTGACTGAGCTCATTGATCAATCGGTCATTCTTTTATTGTTTCTCTTGGGTCATGCTCTTGAAATCTCTGTGGAGCTGATGGGACAGCAGCTTTGGCGTGTGAGTGTGTGTATGCCTGGCAGGCATCAATGCTGTGCATTGATTCTGACAATGCAAGTAGGATATGTCAATTTGTCGTGAACGGCAACAATTCGACATCCAGCAGACAACAATGCCCCCCGCCCCCCCGCCCCACCGCCCCACCACCCCACCCGTTCCACACGCAGTTGTTTTGGCTCTTGGTGCAGTGAGCGGGTCCAAACCTCCACACCTCGTAGGGTTCCCCTGGGTGCATGCTTTCTTGCTGTTGGTGTTGGCTGTGTTGTGTGTTCATCTTGCATTGGGGACTCTGCACAATCTTTTCACGGTATGGAGGTTATCCTCACATGCACTCGCACAGGAGGGGGTGCCTTTTGAATGACCTGCTTTCTTTCAGAGGATAACTGATCTCACGTTCCACCGCCCCATCCACCTTATCATACCACCCACAGCCATCCTTTTGTCAATGCTGGGATGACCCAGCAAGATATTATTTCAGCATAATGCAGCGCCAAGAATTGTTCAAGCAAGGCAGAAATTCGACACCAGAACAATCATAGAGGGTTTGAGAATGTGTGCATCCAAAGTGGCTTGTGTATGCGTGCAAATGGTAGTCTTTGGAGCACAAAGATGAGCTGCAATTGATGGCAATAAGGTGAATTGGGATGCGTTGCTGGAGTTCCAACGGGCTAAAGCACGCTTTTTCAGACAGGTCTTTTCAGCAGCGCGGCGGAGAAGGACGCCTTAAAACCACCTTGAGGAGCCTGTCGAGAGGCTTTTCCATCAAAAACAAGGGAATATGGCGTCTCCCAAATCTTCTGGGCGACATCATCTTGCCCATATACCAGCGAGATGTGGCCTATGATGAGGACGTGCGCTTGCGCATCCCAGGAATCTGGCTGCTAACCAACACGAGGTGCCCATGCGGCTAGCTGAACAGGGTTGACATTGTCCAATGTGTATCCTTGTGTCTTATAGTGGCACTAAGGTGCTGGCACGAAGGGGCTAGCAACAGACCAGGGTCGACGCGTCCCTAGGGACCAGCAGCAATGACACACCTGAGCTGGTGCATTGCGGTAATGTCGGTGAGTCATGCCGGCATCGTCATTGGGATTGGGGCGGGGTGTACCCCACGCAAAGGTCCGCCTGATTTGCGTACACCATGCGTAGGGGGAGGGCGCCGCACCACGAAGTTGCCCAGCACTGAAGATTTGGTTGTCCCCATGTGCTCTAGCGCATCGCGACAACCCCAAAAGGAACGACGAACAGCGGCTTGCAAACCGCTAGAATGAGGCCAACGCCAAAACTCCTGCAAAATCCCCACCAGAGGTTAACCAGCTCACAACATCGGGGTCCCCGGCTCAGTACTGTACAGCTACACGACTATCAGCATGGTGCTAGAGGGTTGCACTTGCCGCTGAACGTCGGTTCCGATATCGCCTCCCACGCCTCAGGTGGTGCTATTGTTGTTTTGCTTCTTGCAGCACTCCCAACGCTTCTCCCCGCGCTCTCTATGCATTTCGCCATATTTCTAAATTTTCCAGTCGTGTTCCCCGTGTCCCTCGCCACATTCCCTCCGCATTCCGCCACGTGCCCGAAATTTTCGAAACACATTCCCTACGTCTCTCGCCACATTCTATGCAAACCCGCCACAGCTTCCGTGCCTTCATGTGCACATTCTATAGTCCCCCTGTCCCCCCACGTTGCCCGCCGTTCCCTTCGCACATTCCCTATGCTCGCCGCAATTCGAGACAAGGCTCCCCAGAGCTTAGGCCCTCTCCCTAAAGCACCATGCTACTGCAATGCCAGCAAATCGATCACCCCTCCAGCGCCACTGCAGCAATCAATCCCAGCAGCTCGGCGCTCGCGTTCATCACACAACATCTCACATCTCCCTCGTCTTCAATCTCCGTTCGTTCGGCGAAGAGTCCGGTTAAGAATCCATTCAAACAAAGCGTGCCACGGCACGCACAGTCCTTATCTGATTTTATCAGGGACTTCCAATGGTGTCACGCCCCAGCAGCCATAGTCAACCGCTTGCGCGCCAAGGGCTCATAACGAGTCCTTATTTTCCAGTGGCGTGCAAGGCCGCCGTCGCAGCTTCCTTCCCTGTGCATCCACAAGCTGCCTGCCAGAATATCGACCTCCCAATGCGGCAGATTGGTCGACATGGTTGCAGGGTACCATTGGTCAGCCAACTGTTCCCACATCGCCAATGACAATACGGTCCCACCCAGGTCACGTCACGACACAGCTGTCAGCGGGTTTGGATCTCAACTGTTGACAGTGGCGTGCCGCTCCAGTGCCCAGACGCCTCACTCGGCTGTCCGTCATCAGCCACAAACATCTGGAAGATGGGCAGTGTCTTCAACCACTCGCTGGTCGGTGATTCATTCCATGTCCCAAGATGTGCGTGTTGTCATTTGTCGAGTCAAGAAGACCCAGCGATGGAGGGATCAGCAGCGCAGGTATTATCCATTCTCAAGAAATAAAGCTCATGCATTTATATGAATCTGCTCCTTCTTCAAAAACCCAAGTGTGGGCAAGGGCGGTACGATAAAAATAGCTGTCCTAGCTTATGACCACCCTACAAGGCAGCACACAAGAATGAATGCTCCAAAGGCAACGTCACCCCACCGAGCAGTCAACTGCACACATAGCATCTGCACCATACCACACGGTCAGGAAGAGGATCCAAAGTGTAAACTCCTGGTTAAGGCTTCAGGCAAGCAACCACTGCTGCTACCGCATTTCCGGGGCAGCACAATTCCTACAGCTGCCCGCCTTGGGGGGCTGCTGCACTGTTGAAATCTAGCAGCGACAAGAGAACAATTGCAGGTCTGTAGCAATGGCAGATCCGATACCAGAGGGCAGATAATCGCAAAGTTCGCCCTTTGCTGCAATGAGTCGAGATGCATTGATCCAGGGTCTGGATGTGCATTCACATCATTCATACGCAACTTCAGATTGAAGTCAGCATCAAAGATAACATGCCTGCAAAACTGCAAAGAGTATCAAAGCTCTGTGATCGGTGTTTGTACAAGCATCGTAACGCGAAAGGACACCCCAAGACAACGTCCATTTTCAAGGTGCATGGGCAGCACCTTTTTCACAAAACAAAAGTGATTGTCCAAGAAGCCAAGACAGCTTTGAAGGAAAGTATACCAACAGACACCTGCCACAGTACACTTCTTTGCCACCCACCACATCGTCGACAACACAGGGCCATCGCAAAAGACTGTCATCCAACAGGACGCAGGGCTGCCATCAATGGCAGCACTTTGGTCGCTGTGGCATTCAGCATCCCCTCTTCATTCATCGGCACCAGCGCGCAGTCAGCCTCGTCCACCCGGTGCCTGCAGCTGGCCCTTAGATGGAGAAACTTGGTCTCACCACTGTTGCCATCGCCTCCAAAGGCCAGATGAGCAAACGCTTCGTCACTGACAACACAACGGCCTGCACAGCAGGACTGGCCATCTGTGAAAAGACGATGGGTACCATGGCAGGAGCAGCAGCTCTTTAGACAGCTGGATTGTGTTCGATTCACTCGAAACGAGGCATCGACGTGCACGATCGCAGCATTCCATCTATGGAAATTGGTGGGATGGAGCCTACAACAAGCAATTGCTCCTTGGGCAAAGATGTTGGTCTGACTTCCACAAAGCTCCCCACAGACAATCAAGTCACAGACACAGCATCCGTCAGTGTGAAGAGCTACATGTGCAGATCTTGGATGGCTGAAGCCTCCAAAACCAGCCACTGACAACAGCAAAGCTCTGAACACAAAGCCTGCACTACAGCGTGTGCTGCATTACGAGCATCTGAGATGGAGCGAACAACATACTGGAAACAGAGAAGCGACAACATCTACACAAAAGTGCAATCATTCAGCGACAGTACTGTCCATTGGCTTCACATGCTGGCTGGAGGTGTGCTATACTGCTCAAACATGCAGGCACAGACACATAGCATGTTTCATCCTCAGTTCAGTTGCCTGAGGCACCTCTATCCTTGGTATGTCACTGCCATTCGCCAACTCTTAAAGAGGCCCAAAGCTGTGCATTCTCAGAGGGTGGCAGCCCTCGTTTTGTGGGCAAACCGTACCATCAGGCATCAGAATGCTGTAAACTTCGATTGGGGCAGGCCGAACAGGCAACAGGGTAGCCACCATGCATACACAATTTGCACACACAACATTGCACAGCGAAAGCAGAGCAACCCAAGGGCATCAGCAGCACCATCGCGGCAAATGCCAATGGCCACTCTTTGATCTTTACCACTCACTTTCATTCTCATCCCAGTCACAGGTGCTGATATTGTGGCAGTGTGGCTTAGTATCCAGCTCCCCACATGCCTGTAGCATCGCAGAGTACTCGCCCACGGTGCCACACTGAGGATCGTCAAGCGTGAGCATGGTGCGGGGTTTGAAGCGTCGTGGCAGCTCCACCCCAGCACCCATGCAGTAAGCAAACGTCTCAGACTTGCAGGTTTGCTCTCCAGAGTCCCTGGGATGGTAGCATGGGGAGGGATCAGTTAAAACCGCATTTTCTCGTGGAGACTGCCAGTTTGTCACAATACACAGATCACACAAGAAACTTGTGTCATCTGGCAGGAGAGTTTTTGACTCTTTTTCATTATTCTCCACTCTTTTTCACTGTTCAACTCTCATTTTCACTTATCACAATCTTCACTCTTGTCAGTGCAAGGTCGCAGAAGACTCTCAATGCCTAGGGAATAAATTGTCAATCACATTAACCGCAAATGCACATTCTGCTGCACCATCATGGCATGCATTGATTATGAACCTTTGTTGCTTTTGAGGTGTCCACCAGGGAAAATCTAACTTGAGGTGGCAGGCATCAACAAGGGCTGCAAATGCAGATTATCCTGTGGGCAGTTTTGCTTGTCTCTATTCTTCTGAAGTTTACAATACACAAAGGCCAGACAAGAGTTTGGAACCATTCCACAGAAAACATTGATGCCACCATCGTCCACAGGGTGCAAGGGCCAAGTCCTGTCATTCTTGGGCCAACTTACTCAAAGATTTTGCAATGAAATGATCGAGTACATGGAACATGTCTTCGATGTCGCAACATTTGCTGCAATCAAAACTGCACAGCAAACATGCATTCCAGCATATGCTACAACACGCACCAGAAGCAATCTTGGTGGGCGTCACAATCTTCGTTGGATTCCTGCTGTATGCACTCCTGCACATGCGTGCACATTCCAATTACTAGTTTGCAACATGGTTGAGGAGCACTGGTCGCGTGCTTGCTGCATGCCAGTCCATGCTTCAGCTCCAATTGGTGTGATCAACTAAAACTGGACCTTGAGCATCATTGTGATAACTGGCCCTTTCAGAACCCCAATTTCTGAATTCAAGCTGTGAAAATACCTGGAGGAATCTCAAGCTTCCACTCACCCTACCAGTGGGATGCGAATCAATCTTGGCACAATGAGCATCACATCTGGAGAGCAGTGCTGCGTTTTGACAAATCCATTCAGAGGGCACTCAACAACAAGTGCCATCAAGGAATCCAGCGATTCATCCACCATGGACACACAACCGACAATGACTATGGCCAATTTTGTGAGGAACTTACTAAACAATTGTGCTGGAGTGCAGGTGGCTGTCTCGCAAGAGGGGCTGCGGTCTCTTGGGACATCCGACCAGATAGTGTGTGAGATTTGGCGCTGCTGGCACAGTCGACTGTCTCACGGCTAGCAAAATTCTTCAGCCAACTCAGCGACTCTTGCAGTTTGCAGAGATGATCATAACATGATTGTGCAATGGATAGAATGCCCAATAATTGATCGGAAGAAGACATATCGCCTTTCTCGGATTATGGGAGTCCCAAGGCTTGAGAGAATTGAGGTGCAAAATGTGGCCGGATGAAAACAGCCACGTCTGATATATTAAGCAGTGTCTCCATGATGCACGACATGATCTGACTTCATATGTGAGCCAAGGGTCGGGCAAGAGAGGTTGGGCAGCTGCAGCATGTGGTGGCACCGTATTATTGCAAACAATAGCACAGGACCTTGAAAGCTGACTGGCAGCAGATCCTCAGCACAGCCTCACCAGCCAGTTGATCAATTAATCTTTGTCCGATTAGATCAATGCAGAGAAGAGAACTCCCACTAAGGTATGCACCAACCAACAAGCAAAATTGCCAAACAGACACTCACCAACAACTCAATCCAGGGATGCACGTTTGCACCATTGGACTCCTTGGACAATTGGAAGCACTGCTCCATTCCTTTTGCACCAAGTGTGCACTCAGCCGTGGCCCTGTCCCACTCACAAGCTGGGAACTCTGTTTCAGAGCCAGCTTTGTCGAAGACGCCCACCACCATCACAGCGCCCCACACAACCAGGAAGATGACCCCCAGCCCCACAGGCCAGGTGTACCATGGCTCCGAGATTCGGTTCGTTTCTGACAGTCCTTCACTGGAATCTGTAAACGCCAGTCATGCAGCATTCAATAAACTATTGTTGTGCTTTCTGTACAGTCTGCTACCAAAGCTCTGGAATCTGATAAACACAACCAGATCTCAACAGCAAACAGCACAAGGTGACTGCATTGACCAAAGACGCAGGTCCCCTCAAGGCTGCAGACTACCTGTTGCTTCCCCCTCACCCCCCACGCCACCCCACCTTTCTGTTTGGTGTTGGAATCCAAAAGAAGGGGAAGAAATACTCGTTTGGCTTCAAAAATTGACGTTATTGCCACATATCCAATCAACATCCATTCAATATGCAAAATAAAGGCACGGGCACAGGGGACGAGTGTGCACGAAATTCCTATCCAACACTCTTCTGTGATAAAGGTACAGCAGCAGTGGTCCACGGCCAACCTCCTGTTGGACTGTTCACATTGCACATCCCATATTCAAGAAGCACATATTCATGGTGGCAAGGGGATGTAGTCACTGCCAAGAAGTATCAACAGCTGACTGCATTTGACTTATCCCCTGTGGATCCTATGAGTATTTTGGTAACAGGACAAACATCTTCAACATGCTTTGTCCACTGTCTCAATTGGGTAAGAGCGAGCTCGCATGGAAAATTGGCTTGATTCTAATTCTGGGCAGGACGACTACTGCTTTTGGCTGGGACGCTGGGAGCATTGCCCCCTGGAAGCCCTCCAGTTAATGAACATTCAGCATCTTTCTGATCCTGCCCTCGAGCACTTCAATCTAGGGCGGCGCCAATAGAAGTTCGTCCGATCCGTCCAGCGTGCCACCACCACCAACAAAAACACCCTGGCGGCAAGCTCCTGCGACTGTGCAAAAGAGCGCCGCCCTCGCCCAACACGTACAGGGCAGTGATCTGCCCCCCGCTGCAGTCACGGGAATTAGCGATGGCTTACCCAACCGCGCCACTCCTTTGCCGCCCTGGCTGCCGTACCAGACGGCAGAGAGCGCCTAGATCCACAAATCACTCATCCCACCTGTGGCGCCCCAAACACCTCATGGAGTGACCTTCTTGCCAAACCAAGACGCGCTCTCGACCCGGGCGTGAGGGCCCCAAGCGCCCGCCGGTCCAACGCCAGTCCAACGGCTGACGTGGTGCCAGAGACGCCAGACTCCCTTGACATGCCCGACTCAATGGCCGTCACGGGCACCTCCCTACCATGACTGGGTACGAAACGCCGCACAGAGGCGCACAATTTTTCAGACGGCGCCCAGCGCCGTCCGCATCAGCCCCGGCTTCCCAATCCGCAGAATCTGCAAGTTCCCCACCAGCGCCCGCTGGGGGCGGGCGGAGGGGCGCTTGGCGACACCGCCTGCCAACGGGCCGTCCGTGGGCACAGGCCCGCTCCCCGCGCTCCCGGGCCCACCCCCGGGCTCCCCGCCGCCATTTCACCGGTCGGAAACCGATCGCCGGCGACAAACGCCTGTCGGAGGCTGGCGGCCCGTCCACCGGATTCCCCATCCCCCCCTCGCGAATCATCCCCCTTCCCAGCCCGCAGAGAGATGCTGCCCGCTGGCAACGACAGAGCGAACCGATCGCCCGCCGCGCGGCCAGCACGGCTCTCACCCACCCAACCCTCCGCCCCTTCACTCCCCCCGCACCCACCCGGCCCCGCACAACCTTCACCCACTGCCATCCAAACCGCCTCTTTCCCCCCACCCTCCGCAGCAACATTGATTAATCACCCTGCCCCTTCCGGCCCATAACCTTCTCGTGACCCCACCCCCGTCCGGGGCTGCAGATTCGCGGCGCGGCCGCCGGGGGCCCACCCTCGGACTTGCCTAGCAGCGGCGTGCTCCACTCATCGCGCTCCCCCCGCCGCATCGAGATCCGCCCGCCTCGCTCCAAGCCAGCAGCCAGCCCAGCGCGCCCGTCCTGAGACCGTGGCGCTCTCTGTCACCGACGCCGATCGCGCTCCGTCAGCTGGCCCTCCTTGATGATGGGATGAGCGCCCGACGAGGAATTGGCGCGTCGATTGTCCGGTCTGTGCCGTCGCGGGTGGCCGGGAGCAGCGCAGAGGGGCAGGCGGCGGCGGGTGGGTGGGTGGGTGGGTGGGGCGGGGGGGGGGCGCTGGCGCCCTGTGCCGCCTGCCTGCCGACCCTCTCTGCCGGGGCCTTGACTGCCGGTTGCGGTGGTGTTAAGGGCAGTCCGCGCCGTGGCGCCAGGGGGCTGTCATAGGAGCGCGAGGGGGAGGTGACAGGGGATAAGGGGGTTATGTACACGGCACACGCGGAGATGAAAAGGAGGGGGGGGCGGCGTGCCTCCGTACTTTTCCGACATACTTTCCGGAGTGTGTCGTGGGTTGGGGGGTGGTCGGTTGCGTAGTTTGTGGCAAAATTCCAGTGGTGGCCTCGAGGTTTCCCTCAACTGTCCGCAAACTCAAACTAGTCCGCTGCATGATCATCAATGTTAGGACGGGCCAGCTGTGGCGTCCACAGCACAACGGCGGCGCACTTGTAGTCAGCGGGGACCCACAGAATCGGCGAGTCGTCGCTGGCCCTAGGGCAGGGGGACGAACTGTGTGTCTTGCCTGCCTGACCGCCCGCTCGAGGGGATACTGTGCAGACAGGGAGGGGGCGCGCCTTCATAACGCTTCTTTTTGCCCTCCCAACCGCTTCTCGACTTGGAGTTTCTTGGGATTTGACTCTCGAAACAGTTTACTAGTACAGGGAAACGACTGTCTCGCTTAAAGCGCATTACATGAAACTGAAATATTTAATTGTTTTGTCATTAATTGAACGCATTGAGACGTTGATTCGGGATCAGACTTGTTATTTACGCCGCAAACACAGACCGTGTTTACGTTTTTACAGGTAAAAATAGTTCTTACGTTTTTGCGCATAAAAATGCGTAAAAATACGTATATACAACGTAAACACTGCCCATGTACATAGTGCCTGAACTGCGTCGTCAACCCGTGACCGGCTGTCCCCCTGCGCTCGCCATGGGGCGCAAAGGAGTGAATGGGCCGTCCGCCATGCACTGTAAGGACGTGAAAGGCTTGCAAGCCGCCTGTGCACCTGCCTGCAAGTTGCGAGCGGCGGGAGGAGTGCTGACGCTGTCACCTAGCTGGGATCAACGGCTTTGGTGTGCAGCAGGCACTTACGAAGTGCCCCGGGATGTCAGGGAGGAGTTTGCCAGCCACCATGCGGTGCGTAAGAAGAAACACGAAGGCAGGAAGCGCGCCAAGACCGGAGGCCTGCTCACCACAAACGCATAGCCTGTGTACACAGAGCTGGCCATGGGTGGCAGCAGTTCGGTGCCAGCGGCCAACCGCCGCCAAGCCGTCGACCTGGTGCTGGGTACCCCTTCAGGCCCAATCATGGATGCAATGAAAGTCGAGGGTGAGGAGGTAATTGACGAGGCATGAGCGATGGCGTTCTATTGCTGCAACATACCTTGGAACGTTGTGAGTGGATCTAAAGCAAGCTGCACAGAAAACTGCTTTCCAAGAAGGGAAGAATGTTGGCGATGATCTACGTAGCGCTGAAGCTCAAGCGTAGTAAGGAGTCTGGGGTGTGGCAACCAGATACGTTGCAGTGGGTAGAGGACGGCCTTTTGTCGGACGACGCCGTTGTTGAGGGCGAGGTGGACACCGTTTTGCAGGTGCTGGAGACGGCGGAGGACTGATCATTGTATTGCTCTTTCATCGTGTAATCTGGGTCCTAATGAGCCGCAAAGACGTAAAAATAGCCGTAAAAATAGATCCTTTCGCAAAATTTGTGTTTTCACGCGTAAAAATGTAAATGCAGAAACGTAAACGGAAATAGCAAGCCTGTTCGGGACAACTCGCTTCCTTTTGCACATGCAGCCAAGGCAGGCATGTCGCAGTGGCAGGACGTAATCCCCATTGGTGCACGACTGGATGGTTCTGCAGCCAGAAGAACTTCCAGTTCAGGGCAAATTTGAATGTTACGTGATTTAAGACAAAATCCACCAGGTGTCACCCCTGAGCCAGCCACACAATACTGAGCTTGACTTTTAGAGGCAATGCCACGTCGAATTTGGCACGTTTGAAACCCCCGTCCCAGTCCCACGCTGGAGCAACGGTGCTCTTCAGCACCATTAATTAAGGATCCTTATAAGGAGCCTTCTTCACAAGGGCAGATGATTTGCTGCACTTTCCTTTGAGGCAAATGGCGACCTGGCCGCCAGCGCCTGTTCCAGCCCGAGCTGGCAAAGGAGTTCCTCTCGCTGCCACTTGATACTGTGTGAATCCCAGTCGAAGGAGCGATGGCCACATGGCCCTATCGTAGCTGATCGTGCGATCGACGGTCACCTGTAGCCACCCGTGGGCGCACAGCATGCCTCACGATATGCGGTATACTGTGATGTAGCCTGTGCGTTCAGATCTCGGTATGTGGTCTGATTGACGGGGTTGGCATTCCCCATTCCTGCATGCAGCGTGAGCGTCCCAGCATCAATAGAAAATGCGATCGTGGCGATGCCAACTGGGATTCCAGTTTATACGCTAACTGGCGCAATTGTGGTTTATATGAATGCCATCGCCATCACTTTGACAGCATCATTGAATATAAAAGCAAAATCACAGTTGTCGCCGCTAGCATGGCGTGTTCTGCTGATGTTCTCTGTCTTATTTGGTGGGATGTACACTTGCTCCATCTCCAAAGTTCTTCTTCACGGTTCTGTACTGTATCACACTACTATGTAGCGAAATTGACAGGCACAAGGCAGACATAGGGGCGGACAGGGGGCATCGGTACACATCGCACATGTCGGTACGTATCTGTTTTTTTAGCGATTGCGCCATACTGAAGCATCGATCAAATTTTTAGATCCCTCGTACTGGAGCCATTGTTGTTGCCGACCCCGATATGGTGCAGTACCGCGCCGTGAAGATGTACGATAGCACGGTGCAAAATCCGCTAGAATAGCACAATACAGTGTGGCAATAAAGCATCGCAATAGAGTGGCTCAGCACATGTGCCACGATTAAATATCAGAGCTTTAGCATATGCTACTGGTCCAAGAGTATGAACTTTTCGACATGTACGTGGATGTGTGTAATACACTTGTGCGTTTATCAGTATCTTAAATAATATGTCAATTTTTCTCCAGTTGTCTGGTGTTGGAGTCGCCGGTCTTTGGATTGGATTGATTGCCACGCAGCCATCACAGTTCTTCATGCATCACGCTGGACGGTGTTTTTGGGAGGCTGCCTATGGGTTACTGTAGATTGCAGATTGCTAAACTCTCCAGCACATGGGCTGCCGACCAGACTGGCGATCGCCGAGGAATCTTGCAAATTATGCCACGTCATGTGCAAAAATTCGCGATGCCGCAGAAACCGTGGCGAAATTCGGCACGCGACTGGGGCGAGCAAACAAGAGTTCGGGCGCGCCCAGCCGCGGCCGCTCAGGCCCTATGCAGGATTTCCTGAGAGCGAACAGTCTTCTAAGAAATAGCCATGTTCAAAGCGTGGGAATTAACACTTCGAATCTGTAGGACTGCTGAGAATCAGGCAGCTCGCGAAATGTCCACAGACCAGAGAAACTGCTTTACTTGCTGCAATCAAATCTCACTGATCCTTTTTCCTACCAAGGTTAACATAATGAGGCAATTGCACCTATCTGTTCATAGCTAAGGTGGAATGAACCCCTCTAAGAATGTCAAGAGAGTTCGCCAGAGATTGGAGCCCGCACAGCACGCTGCGGATTATTTCAAATCGATTTTAATCTCAACAATGTTCCCAAGATTCGATCAGTTTCTTTCTGCTTACACTTCCCATATCTCCAATTCCCACGGATTGTGTCTCAGTTCGTGCTGGCGAATCATTACATCATGTGGATATAAGGCCGCTGCCCCGTCGGTAATGCTAACTCATACTTTCCACTTGAAATCTACCAATTATATATGCATGGCGGCCTGACCGCGCGCCATTCGCCCCCCCAAAAACCATAGCATTTCGCTCAGGGTATCAAGACATCCAGTGAAGTAACTACGCCAGAAGCACTAACCAGTATTTCCAGAGATGACTTAGACTGTAGTTCAAGCAAACTAAATCCTGGCATTTTCCATCACTCCGGACCACCCGCGTTCCCGGAGATCACTGCATTGAATGCCAATACCTCTCATTGGCTTACCGCATCAGATAGATCCGCTATTCCCCACAAACCGTAGGGTTTGGCTGTTCCCATCCATTTACAGACGCAAAATTTGCGCCCATTGATCAGGATGTGCATCAGCACATCCGCCATCGTCGCTTGACCTTCTTGCACGCATCTCCCACGCCAGACCATTTTTCAAGAATCAGCACAGATTGTACCATCTCACCTTCCGCAAGGACCATTCTTGCATTGGACTTAGAAGTAAGAAATATGTCCAAGGTCGTGCTCAGCGCATGCGATCGAAGCCCTTGGCGTCAACGTCCGTCCTTGACTCTGTTGCCATCCATCGATCAAAGATAAAGCCATGCGCACTATCTCGACCCAATCTCTTGTAGATGGCCTCATAATCGCCATCGCAGGGTCGAGATGGCTCCAAGTGTCCGCGCGGTTCATCCCACACGTTCCACATGCCGTCACAAGCACGTGCGGTGATGCGCCTCTGTTGTTGTTTGCAATAAGCCTCGAATTTGACTTGCCCAGGTGATGGCACCGAATGAGAACTGTAACGTGTTGTCGATTTTTCATCTGCTACTGTCAAGAAGAGAGCCTCATAACAAAAAACTCAGAAATCGAGCAGTTTTTGCTGCAGCTGCTCAAAATTGTCAAGTTGAACTTCTTCTTTCTTTCTTTGGTACCAGTATTCACTAAATTTTGACACATTCATATCCAGACATTCTGATGATGTAAACAAAAAAAATCGAACTTGCTTGCCTCAAAGTGCATATGGCGGTTCAATTCTCATATCAGTGGCAGACAGTCTACTCACGGAAAAAATGGCAATAATCTTGTTTCGTGATGAGGTGGCTGACTCATGACGATTTCAAAAGTCGTTCATGAGCTGCCTTTGAAGGGCCCCAGCCCGCCTGGGTTTCTCAGCAGTTCTGGCTGTCTGTATGCTGGCATTCTGCCATGTGAAGGACAGCCGGCTTCGTGAGTTTGTGTTTGCGCGATGATGTGCCTGTATCCCATCGAGGAATTCGTGATTCGAAGCCTTGCTTGGCGCCAAGTCTGCCGTTAATGAGCTGGCATGATGAGTCATTAAAGGTTATGCAACTCGTGACGCAAACCAGTTTTCAGACCTGCAACGATCTGGGCTATTTGAAAGAGACCGAGCTAGTCGAGGGCTTTTCCTGGTAAGTTCACAGATGCCAAATACGAAGACCACCCATAATGGAGATTATTCCCTCGATACGTGCTGACACATCTTCGGTACATACTGAAAGGCACCTAGAACAGCAACAAACCTGCAACGGCCCACAGTTAGAAACACGAGTTAAAGCTGAAACTTCGAAAGCACATTGCAGGCAATTTCAGAGTCATTTTGCAGACGTTTTAGGCCATCGTGATCACGCGAAACCAGCACTGTACCGACGTATAACACCAGCTCAATTGCTGCCGGTCCCCGAAATCTGTACCACAAAGCGCCGTAGTAACGTCCGGTGCAGGTACATTGTTTGATGCACATCAATGATGGCACCAAATTAGTGTGATGGCAATGCTTGTACGATCAGGGGAGGTGCAGGCACGTTGTAAATTACAACCGGGCCCCGCTGCCTCTCGTTTCCTGGGTGCTGCGCCAACGCGCACACCCACCACCCCTGCTGCTACCGTCGGCTCTGCACCGCAGGTGGCATAACATAAAGCCTAGGCCCGCCGGTGTGGACCGGGCGGGTCCTGGCTTGATACGGATGGATTGCCACTTAATACGGCTGGCGGGCCGCAATACTGTTAATTACGGAGAGCTCTTTCAAGAATGAGGCCAAACAGGGGACCAGCGACCTCCATCGCACGCCAAACGAAACCGTGCGCCTGCACGCGTAACTTCTATCACCATTTCCTAGGCCATCTGTTAGAACGGCCTGGGCTCCTCCACAAGAACTAGTAATGACTATTGCTTTGCTCAGGCAAAATAGAAAGCTGACGGCTACCTCATAGCCTTGTTCTGTAAATAATGATGATGATGATGATGATGACTATTGCTTGAATTCTGTAGATGGGATGGAGGAGAGCACTAACGTCACTGCAACATTGCTGTTGCTGGAATGCAACGGAAACCGCGCGGTTTGGAGGCCCCATCGCCCAGGAGCGGGTGCCACCAGTCCCGCCCAACCTGCTAGCGTCGTTGCCCCCCACATTGTTGGCTGCACTGCTCCGCGTCCCCCTTCGTGGATGCGCGCCTCGCGATCCACCCTGACCCGGTGGCTGCCCGAGCCGCTGTCCATCTCCATCTGCCGCCTCCACCGGGCTTCCCGGCCCCACTGCCCGGCCGTCTACTCCAGGGCAGCCCTTCAGGACATGCAGACGTCCTTCTACAAGCGGAAGCTGCCTGTGCCCCCCGCAACGGAGTTCTCTTCCTCCGAAGGTGAGTGGCCACATCCCCCTCCCAAACCCCTTTTCATGTTCCAGATCGTGATCTGAATGCACTTGGCTTTGTGTGAGTGGAGACAACGTTGCAACAAAGTGCAGAAAAGCACACTGAGCAAGGTGCGAGCATCAAACAAGCTCAGATCATAAGGCAGCATCAGTTTTCCCACATGTGTACGAGGACATCGCACTGCTGGGCAAAGAGCAGTGCTCTAAACCCCCAAGGACAGAATGCACACGGCTGTATTATGCAACTGGTTCCCTGTGATATGCCTAACGACAGGGCGTGTCTCTGCATCACCAGGCCGAACTGTGTTCCAGGAGGCCTTGGATGAGGGCAACACTACAGGGTTCTTCAAGCTGATAGAGCAGTTCCGGTAAGGAATGCCTGGAGCAGTTGCCAGGAGAAATTTCGTGTGCCCCCAAAACATGCACAGAACTACACATTCCATATTGCCCGTTGTCAAATGGATAATGCTGGGCCGAGTCCAGATGGCACCAGTTTCCTAAAGGAAATGATGTGTGCTTTGTGCAACCTCACAAGAAAGTCTAAGGCATTATTGTAAACCTCAGAATTAGCAACAACAACAGCAGCAGGCATGCCATCGTGTGTGCAATTGTATTGAAACCAGAGCACAGCACTTTGGCCACATCATTTGTCTGTCCAATACAGTCAATGGCATTCATGTTGTCGAAATTTCTACCAGCAAATTGGCTGGGACGTACTGCATTCTCAGAAAGATGTAACAATTGGGAGTGCATCATTTGGCAGTGCGTTTCATATTCAAGCTGTGCTCATGAGTGTTTGTTAAAAGTCCTGTATTGCTTGGGTGCTTGCAGCCAGCTATTTGCTCCAAGCCTTTACTTTCTTGGGTTGAGGGTAAGTACGCATTGAAAAAGAGGTGCATAATGCGGATTAACTGGGCTGCTCTTGTAAAAAGGGCTGTGAATGCCTATGGAGTGGCTGCACAGACACTGTTGAAACAAGTTGTTTTGTAATTGCACAAAAAATGGCCTATGAATATGCAAATACAAAACATGGGGTCCCCCACACTCATCTTGAGGCTAAGTTGGGGAGAAACTTATGAGTTTAAAACACAGACATTACAAACGATCTTGGCTTCTGGAAGGTACATTTTCACTCACAGGCAAGGGCTTGGCTTTGCGTCCTGTGGAGCTGTTGAGCCATAGGTTCTATGAAACCACAGGACCCAGGATGAACCCGCCTTTTGCGGCCTCTCCAGTGTGGCGATGGTACTGAATGCCCTGTCCATCGATCCACTACGAAAGTGGAAGGGACCCTGGCGATGGTTTGATGAGACAATGCTGGACTGCTGCAAGTCTTTGGAGGAGGTGAAAACGGAGGGCATCATACTGGAACAGGTGCGATGCACTGGTTTCTTTAATCTGTTCATTGTGCTGTACTGGTTGCAGCAGTACAGCCTCATTTCCTGCAGTGCAGAACAGCGGAATTTGCTGCTGCTTGTGCGGGTGGTGTGTACAAATCATTCATTATCATTGATTATTGATGGGCAAGAATTCACTATGAGGCCGTGTGTTGGCCTGAAGTCATGAACAGGAGAGGAGGGTGATCGGAGTTCTTGCCTGATAATATGCAGGAAGAGTAACAACATAGAATTGTTCCTGGGCTGTGTTTGCCACCGCCTATAAATGGTTTGCGTAGGTTGTCTCATTGTGCCAGTGTTGTGGAAGATTATATCCAGGGGTCTGGGGTGGAACCGTATATAATACTGTGTGACAATTTGGCGAATGGTAGAACATTTGAGATTGCCAGCTGCCTTCCTTTTATGTTGTGGCCCAAGAATATTTTGCAGGCAAATTACTGACACAAGCCTGTACATAACAAATTGAACTGAGCAGGACAAGCATTGCCATGGGCTGTGCAGGCGGCCTGCCTCGCACGGTGCAATGGGGCAAAAGTAAAGTTGCGTAAATTTGGATCCTTCTCGCTGGAGGACTTCCGGCGGGATGTGGTGGAGGTGTGCACTGCTGGGGATGAGCACATCATCGTGTCATACAGCAGGAAGACAGTAAGTCGGATGACAGTCAGACACTCCTTCTGTGTGTGATGTGTTGGTGCCTGCACAACAGTGCTGCATGCTCCCACCGGATCAACCAACAATGTAGCTCATTTGATTGATTGATTGACAAAAGCCTTGTGGCAAGCATGGCATGACACAGGCGTTTGAGTGGAATTTCACCTGAAGATGGGGTGAAGGAAGTGTGTCCATTGGGGAAGGGCACAGGGACTGCAGTCTCTCTCTTTCCACCTACACCATCCGGTTACTGATTTTATTGGCAACTAGTGATTCCCCGCTTTGGGAAAATGTTCACTTTGTGAACTCACAGAATTTGGGTGTTTTACAGATGAAGCAAACTGGCGATGGTCATTTCAGCCCTGTGGGTGCATACAACAGCAAGAGAGACCTGGTTCTCATCCTGGACACGGTGAGAATACGGCAGAAGCATAAGTAGGTGGCATATGTCTGTTTTGATTATCAACAAGGGGGCAAAGATTGCCCAACACAGTTTAAGAGACAAGCCAGATAGAAGCTTGTGGGTTGAGTGCATTTCAGCTACCTTTCAGCTATGGTATCCATAATCCCTACTGTTAGATCCGTGACTGGGGCTACATATTGGGATTTGTTGACATCTGCCTGTGAATGGGATCTAGAGACGTTAAACATGGGACGCACTGTCTCTTGGCTTTGGTGCAGTTCAGAAGCAGATTGTGATGATACTCGTTGGGACATCTTGTGTGTGAGTATAGCATTGGCTTGTAAACTGCTGGCTGTGAGGGCCAATGCTCTCTGGCGTGGGTAGCTGTTCGAACTGCACAGTCCCTTGAGACGACAATTTAAGGCCATCTTGCTAATTTTGTTGCTTGAGCACCCAGAAGAACTGTTCCATGGAAAGCACTTATACATTGAGGACAAACTGCCCAAGTTGGTGGAATCATCAGGAATAAAGGCATGCACGCACATAGGCCCCAATTTCATGGCTGCATATCTTGATGCTATGTATTTCCCTTGTATAAGTACTGCATGTTTTGCTGCCTTTTGAGTCTCATGGATTTGAAATGCAACCATTCTGCTTCTTGTCCAGTAGGCTCGCTTCAAGTACCCACCTCACTGGGTGCAGCTGTCACTTCTGTACGAATCCATGTCACGGCTGGACCCAGAGACAAACGAGGCTCGAGGGTACATGCATCTGAGTGCACCACCCAACCGCAGGTCGGTTATGTTCACCTTGGGAATCAGGGAACCAGGGTGGAGAGAAGCAGAGCTGTTCATCAGGAACACTGCACCAACACAGGCACAGGTATGCCCTGTAGTAAGAGCCTGGAAGCTGTGAGCAACATTTGTTGCCCCCCATCCCAGAGCCCCTGGCAAGTTGGGCGACAACTTCATGTACTATATACGCAAAAATTGTGAGCAGATGTTCACCATATGTGGCAGTGGTCTGCTGTGAATAAGATCTTAAAGCACACACAAAGCTCTCTACATAGATTTACTGCCACGCAATTGTTGGAATCAGCGACCCACCCAGGACACACTGAGCATAAAACGTATAAGGAATCCTTTTTACCGATTGTCCCACTGCCTCAGCAGGGACCAATCGATTGGTTGCATGTGTGCGAACATGAAAAGTAATGCAAGACTTGCTGTGTGTGTGCACACTGTATGATGTTTGTCTGTTGGCAAACCATGGTGCAGACAACACAAACGCCCAAAGCATTTCTACCTGCTTGGGTCCTGTCATCCATGGTGAGGTGTGACATACTGTCCTGTGGTGCCAGATGTTCGCAGCATCTGGAAAGAGCGGCATGGAAATTTTGGTGGCCCTGGCTGGGATGGCCCCCCTGGACAGTATCGACAAATTTATATCAATACATGGCATGAATGAGCGAGATTGTGGCAACGGCGAATGTGGCCAACTACAATCCGTCATCGACGCCTTCTCCAAAGAATTCGAGTCGCTTCCTATTTTTCAGGTGAGCTGATGCCCGAATTTTTTCCTCAAGATTGTTGTTGTTCAGGATTCCTCTTGATTTGATCCCACATATGGATGCTATGGGTGCGCTTGGTTTGTGCATGATCTTTCTTGCTGCTATGATTGTCATTGCCAACTGTGGTGTTGGGCTTGTGTGCATCTGTCCCCTCTCTTTAAAGAGCTCTCCATGCACGGGGAACAGGCAGCCAAAGCTGGTACCAACCACGAATCCCAAACATTCGTCCGACTCTGTCACTTTTCCCTGCCACCGGTTTCCGTTGCTCCATATGAATGTTGAACATGGTGCAAATCTCTGGCAGATTCTCCAACACAGTGGGGTGCTGAAGTTTGTGTGGTCATGCTGACTCACCATTGCTGATGTTGCAGCGTTATTGTTTTGCATTGATCATTTTGAACTTGTTTCACTGAGTACCCCATACAGCGTGACTTCGCCGCTCGGAGGGCTGATGCATACACTCAGTGGTGCATTCGACTCTTTGTCTCCAGCCAACGGGCTGCGAAATGTTGAGTCACGCAGTCGGAGCGTCTCAAATGTGCATGCTATACAAGGAGCAGTACTGAATCATGCAGTCGAAGTGCTTCGTTGTCGTCTTTGCAGCAGCCTTTGTCTTTCCACATTCTGTAGTTCTATTGCCGTTCTGCAAGTTGGCATTTATGTTCATCTCTTTTGGTGAAGCACTTACTACTACGCGTTGGCGGTACTGGTACAAGCAACATCCCGTTTGATACGCTGCTCGACGCTTTTAGCGCCGCTTAATGCAGTCCCACAGTGATTTGGCCGATGGCTGGGTCACAGGTGGTGCTGGGCGCCCTAGGAGGCAGCGAAAGCGACGAACATCGCGCCAAGCGCGTCTGCGCACTTCTCCTGCTTCGGGGAGAGTCGTTCTGGCCGGGAATTTCCGGCGGGGCGCTGTCCGGAGAGTGGAAGGAACTGTGGAATCTGTCGAAGACTGAGATAGTGGCCACAGAAGTGCAGAACCTCAGATTTCAGTTTGACCAGCTTGTCAAGGTTGGGGAGCTGGGAGGTGGCGCAACGGACCTACAACCGTGGTACGTCGATGGAGTCGAGAATGGTAATTGACTTCGAATTCTTGGGCGTTGAGGTCTCCAAATTTGGGACAGGTTAGAGAGACAGTGCTAGCGGTCATTCAGGTGCGATGCTGCAATTTCGTGAATCTGTTTAGGGGGTATTCGAATTGGCGTTGGGCAGGTTGGGGGGATGTGTGGAGGGATGCTGTGCTCGGTCTCAAGGTATGCTAAAAGAGTGGGGGAATGCAGGTTGAAACGACTAACTCCATGCATGTCGAGGTCCAGACCGCAGGTTGCTGTGTTTGACATGGGAACTGGAGTGTCCACTGCATGGCGTGGCAGGGACTCAGCCAGCTGACTGTCCGCAATTTTGTGCTACGCACAGGTGCTGTATCTAGCCGCTGTCCCTTGCCGAAGCAGGCAGGCAGACGCCGAAATAGATATGTCGCAATAGAATTGGATGTGTTTCTGAAGAGCAAGATCAATTGCACTGCAGTTGCTGTGTAGTTGCATGGCTATCGATATGTGTGACGGATGAGCTGCCCTTCTCTGGCACATATATTGCTATCCTAGCAGCAGGACGCTTGTTCTCATGCGGACCCTGATTTCTTGGAAAGGGCTCGAAGATAGATGCTCCAATGCACGATTGCCTGAAGTTGCTGTTGTTTGTGTACCAAAATTCACACGACCTCAAAATGCGCCAGCCGGGGGCGAAGAAGAAACGATGTCTGCCGTATTTTACTCACTTGAACAGTGCGTCACGATTTATGACCCAAACACAGTGTTGACATGATGAGGAATAGAAGCACTCTGAAGGAGAGGAGCTTGGCGATGCATGGGAGGGGGTTCACAGCCAAATCATATCAGCGCCAGCCAGCTGCTGTGGTTGTTATTGCAACACAGCTGGCGTTCATGTATTTAACTATCCTGCTGATGAGTTTCTGCCAAGGACGACGTCGGGTGGGCGCGCGCTGGCCATGCTGGGCCGGGCTGCCTTTCTGGGCCATTTCAGGGCCATCAAACACCGGTTTCTGTCGCCCCAGTACCTGGGGTCAGTTCTCACCGCCGGATCCAAGGGCCAACCGGGTGATCCTTGTAACTTGCGCGTAGACAAGGGAACCGGTCAAGCTGGCCCTTGGGTTTGGCGGGGAGTTGGCGGCAAGTGGGAATGGCTATTTGGGCGTGACCCTTGGCGCCCCCTTAATCTTGCTTCGCGCCCACCCGGCCCACCCCACTAGAGTGAGTTTCGGTTCGTTGTGGGACGGAGGGAGCTGAGTACGAGAAAAGGCGAGCTGATTCAGGGTTGAGTCACTATCAGTGTGGCATTAAGTACTATGCGAAGCGAGGGCACATTTCGAGTGGGTCGCCAATCGAGTCTTGTATTAGTGAGGTGATGGACACCAGTACGTTTGTGAGTGTAAGTCTTGTCGTGTGGGGAACACAGGGTGGGTTGAAGGAGACCGGTAAGGCAGAAATCACCTCTCAGCTTGCGAGGTCGCCATCGTTGCAACCAGCAGTTCGACAGCCCCAAAGCACAGATTACATGAACCCGTTGCCACTGAGCGCCCCAAGACTTCGCAACGGCGACCACTCCCTCCTTTCGCCCAATGACCCACCATGCTGTGTGGACAGGCATGGCACATTCCCTGTCCGCATTGCCTATGTGCCCCCTCCCCTTAACGCCACCAATCCCCCCCAACCCACACGTGCCAGCATTCTACACACCCGCACACACCTGGGCTGAAGCACGAATTCATCCGCTCATTCATCCCAATCACGCCCATCAGGACTAGACCAAAGTGATGAAACACCAACCGCGTGTGCACACGGCGGTCGGTAATGTAGCAACCTTCCAGGATATCCCCTTGCATGCCCTCTGTCACCTGGCGGCGGCCCTGTTGTAGAGACCACGTCCGACGTGCACTTGGGGGCGCGTTCCCAGATTCCCAATTCCGACAAAGGTATGCAACGCAGCCGCCTTTGTTGTGAGCAGCAAGTGCGTGGTACAGGTGGTGCCTCACCTCTCGGTGGATACCAGGTGACCTGCTGAGCAGTTCCGCCTTGTTCCTTCTGCTGCCCCTCAAACAAATGCGCCCCAAGCGCGGCGTTGCCAGTGGCGCAAAAGAGCTGTAGCCGTTGGGCATGTTGCAGAAAGGACGTTCCTCATCTCCAGTCCTTGGCGCCCGCTCCGCCCACGATTCCCTTGAGGCGGGATTGCAGCTCCCTGTTTGCGGTGTCGAGGGTGGCGTCCATGGCACCTTTCAGGTCAAGGAGTTTTTTGTGTTCCGCCCTCCACAGGCTTTCCATGCTGTTCCGCTCTCCCTGTGAGATACGAAGTGGGATAGAATCGGACGCTTGGAGCACATGTGTCGGATGATGCTTGCTGAGCTTAAGAATTGTGGAAGCGTTTGTATTTTGATGTCATCATTGAGGGCTGTCGACGACAGGAGCGGGGTGGTGGCCACGGTCACACACCCCGCTTGCATACGGGAAATTGCACAAGGCGCACGATTCCAGAAAATTAGCAACGTTCTCACATCCAAATGTCCGACGAACGATAGCAATTTACGGTTGCTTGTAGCTCAAGCCGAATGTGACGGCGGCAAGCTCGTCGCCTGATGATCATCATTATTTACCATAGTAGTCTTGAGCTGCCTTTCCAACGCTCCTTCCCGTTCCTTCGACTTGTGTAGCTCCCGCTTCAAATCTTTAAGCTGCAACCAGCACCACATCGCGCGGTGAATAGGGCACGATTCCGTGCACATCTCAACATGTATCGTCAGCGCGTTTTCATTGCTGCTAACTCTGAGCGCCTTCAAACGAAAGTAGAGTTTCAAGATCCAAGTACCTTGCGGCAATAAGTCAGGGTTGGGCATCTCTGCAGACACAATCCCACATCATTAAACGTGGTGCACGCAACTGGGCACGTGCCCATATCTCTAAAGAAAAGAAAAGAAACTATCCCGTTGTCGCCCCGAATGCGATCCCCAATCCCATTCCAGCCGTCATCACGCAAGTCCGGGTGCCCACCTCCTCCAAGAGCACTTTCGTCCCGAAGCTGTTGTGCTTCAAACGAGGCTCCTCGGTCCCCGGTTCCTCCAGGCTGGGGACCGCGCAGCCTCCGGCCCCGCCCAGCGCGTCCCGCGCCCCACACCCGCACCTTCCCTCCCCCACGCGCCCGGTCGACAAATTCACGCCTCCGAGCGCCCCGTGCAAGGGCACCCCCGCCGGCGCCGTGACCGTCCTGAGCATCACGGGTGACTCCGGCCTCCAGCCGACGCCCTCCGACACCTGCCTCCTCAGTTCCGTATTTCCGTACTTCCGATCCGGTCCTCCGGGCCCGAGGGCGGGGGCCCGGCCGCCGCGCCGCGCCCTGGCCGCGTGCAGCGTGGCCTCCGCGTCGCTCAGCCGCGCCTGCCAGCCCCACTGCTCCGGCGGGGGGTCGCGGTCCGTGGGCCCCCAGGACCGGGGCGACGGCGCCCCGCCGCGCCCGGGCGACCTGCCCAGGCTGGCTGACCTCGGCCTCTGCCTTTCAGATGCCATGGCCCCCGACCGGCGGCTGCCGCCATCCCCGGCGCCGGATCGGCCCCGCCGCCCTCCGTGGGGGTCCGGCGACGGGATCCTGTCTGCTGGGTGTTCGACCAAGAGATCATTGCCCTGGTGGTCGTTGTCGTGGCGAAGGTGGAGGGAGGGTGTGCGGCCAGGCCAGCAGGGCGCCGTTGGGGCGTCCGAGCGCTGCCCCCCGGCCTGGACCGCGGACCTGCCCCTCTGCGGAGCCCCCTCCGCGTACGCGAGGGCCTCAAGGGCCTCCAGGGAGCCGCCCTTCATCCGGCTCCTCTCGCGGGTCCTCGCGCTTCTTGACCACAGTGGAATGGCGCCCCGACGGCCGGATGGAAGGAGCCCCACGTGATGCGTTACCTGGGGGGAGCGCGGCAAAGGCAGGAAGGATTCACAGACGTCGTGGAGGACAGTCTCGAGGCAGTGGAATAAGAGGGAGTTTCGGGCGCCCCCGGGTCGGTTGACGCTTGCGGGTGACGTCTTTGGGAGCCGGCAGTCCACGGCGAATCACCCACGCTACCCGGCGGGGTCAGCGCGTTCACGACGGGACTGGGAACGAGTCGCGCCGCTCTGGTGAGCGTTGCGGCGCGCGGAGCCTCCGCCGCGCGGTTCGATCGTGCCCTAGGTTGGCCGCGGGTGGAGTGGGCGATCGCCCAGGCCGCTGGGCCCCAGCGCGGCTCCGCGAGGCGGCACACGGGAGCCAGGCCAGGCGGCGGCCGTCCCAGCGGCGGTGCGACCCTCACCGGCGGCCTCTCCCGGGGGGCCCATCCATCCAGCCTGCGTCCCCAGTAGCCTCCTTGAAGATTCGCACCTGAGGGGCCCGCAAATCGCGGGGGCAATGGTGTGGGGTGGCCAATTTGGGACGCATGAATCCGCGAACGGCGGGAACGACACGGCGAGCGACAATTTGGTCGCGACGGGCCCTTCTCGAAGCATGGCCGCTTTCGGCGCGTCGGCAACTCTTTGGGCCGCTCTGCCGTGCGCCTGTGCTCCCGCATCCCGACGACCGCGCCCTCGGCATGTGCGCGTCGGCGGAGTCGCGCCGATCCATTGCCTGTCCAGCGGCTCCCCGGATGGCTGGGCGGAGGGCCTTGACGGCAGGGCGGACCGCATCCCTTCGGCGGAAGGTGGGGATGCCGATTGGAGGGGCGCGGCGGAGCTTCAGCGGCGGCTGTTCGACAGCCAGGCGCGGCAGTGGGAGGCGGAGCGGGCGCGACTGGAGGCGCGGGCCGATGCCGCGGAGGCCTCCCGGGCGGCGTGGTTCGAACGCGAAATGGCGCGGTGGGACGACGAGCGGCGGCGGTGGGACGAGAGGGAGGCCACGCTGCGGGCGCGAGTGGGCGAACTGGAGGATCTGGTGGTCAGGCTCACAGCGCAAGGAAGGGGGGAACGGGAGCAGGGTGCGGGGCAACCTCTCGAGGGCGAAAAACTGAGGAGCGATGGCGCGAGCGCGGTGCAATCGGCAGCTGCTGAGGGATCGGATTCCGGCGTCCCTGCCCCCGTTGGCCCAGAGATTGCGCGGTCTATGGACGGGGTCGGCCCTGCCCAGAAGCAGGAGACGGGGGATGGGGAGCCGGGACCCTCAGCCAGTCCGTCGATCGAGGCGAGCCTGGCCGCCGCCGTGGCCGCCGTCGACGAGGGCGACGTGCTCAGCGAGGACTTCCACTTGTTGCAATCCGACTTGGAGGCGAAGATGAGGAGTGGGACGAATGGGGTCCTGCTCGGGGAGGATATGGAAGGGGGGAAAGGACAATCATTCGACCAGGGGCACGTTGGTGAGGACGCCGAAACGGCGGCCACGGGGGGGGAGAGGGTGCCGCTTGAGGTGGTAAAGAGCCCGCCGACAGGACCCCCGCCTTGCCTGACGATCGGAGATGACGACATATTTTGGGTCGCCCAGCTGCAGCAGGGCCTGGCCCGTGCTGGCTACTTCCCTGGCGACGACGACATGGAGGACTACGTCTTTGGGGAAGGGACGCTGTCGGCCCTGCTGACCTACCAGGCCTGCGAGGGGCTCGAGGAGACGGGGACTGCCGACGAAGTCACGTGGAGGAAGATGCTGGGAGGTGAACTGGCGTGTAACCTTGATTGATTGCAGTGGCCAGAGTATGTCGAAGCGCTGCTCTTTCACCTGTATGGCAGTTCCAGGCACTGTCCACAAACGTAGGTGTTGGGTTCTCCAACAAGTGTTCCGGCTGTGCTTCCCAGATGAGTTGAAGCCCATCCTGGCCTCTACAGCCCCAGACAGCACGTCTACTGAATCAGGAGTAGAGACCGTGGCAGAGGGCCCCCAGCCAACAGGATCGCAAAGCGGCGGCTTGGGATCCAGTGGCGATGAGGTCGCAGCTGCAGCTCAGCATTCGAAGCACTGGCCCACGCTTCGAGAGGAGGATGGGGGCCGGCATGTACACAGCCTGCATGTCGCGCTCCAGAACCATGGGTACGCCTGCGGGGAGGATGACACGCGATGGTGGCAGTACGGTGCTGCCACAGCGAACAGTGTGAGGACATTCCAGGCATGCAATGGCCTTCCAGAGAGTGGCGTCTGCGATGCCCAGACTTGGGTGGCACTGTTGGGACAGGGGGCAAGTCCTGGTGACCTGAAGGGCATGCTGGCTGGGGACTCCACTGATGAGGACCTGACACAAGCCAAGGGGGTGTATCTCATCGGGGAGCAGAGGTGGGAGCGACCAGTGCACAGGAGCTGATACTTCCAACGCACGAGCTCCTGTTTGTTCGTGGTTCAACTGAGATGCGACTGCGCGACCTGTTTGTCCTGTTTGACAGTGTCAGCACCAATGTCCAAAGGCTTTGTGCAATCTTGTGCAGTGGCCAGTGGCAGATGGTTCAAGTAGTGTGGTGGGCAATGGGCAATTGGGCTGGGCATTGCAGTGGCCAGCGCCTGGTGGATGCCATTTGCTGAAGGGTGGTCGTGCATGTGCAAGGCTAGGAAACAGGCAGTGCAGTCCCTTCGTATACTGTTTAGAAATGGGAAAATGTTGCCAATCTTGTGCAAGTCATGGCAGGGTTACTATCAACCGATCTCCTCAGGGAATAGGAAGCCTATGTGGATCTGCAACACGCCCACACTTCCCCAGAGGCAGACTGGGACGATGCGTAGCTTCATTCCTACCTTGGAGGGGCCATGAAGTGGTACTCTTGATCTGGACAGCACAAAGGTGTTGCTGCGGTTCATATGGTGTACAGCCATCAGCAGTTGATCCTCTCCCTGTTGGGAGCACCAACAGGAAAGACAGGCCTGTGTGCCTGTCTCTCTTACCATCTTGTACTGGCACAGATTGGCCATGCGTGATTGGACAAAATGACAGCTTGCTGGGGTTTTCAGGACAGCAGGGAAAAACTCATATTTCATTGCACATTTTTGCCTTGTGTTCACTTGCCGACATGCCCAGATTGATAGAAGGGCCTACTCGCCACGCTTTTGGTGGCCATGTGATGGCGCGGAAAAGACAGCATCCAGTTTCATGCGAGACTGTTGCGGAGTTTAGGAGCACGAGTGAATGTTTGTTTGGTGAAAGTGGGATTGCGAACAGGGGAACCAGCTCAGGTTTGGCTCATACGAAACAGTGGGCACGTATGGAGTTCATTTTGTAGCAGCACAATTGGCTGCATGTTCTCTCTGCGCCTGAGGAGCACGCGCACGGATGGCATGGACACAAAGTCTGCCATCACAGTAAGAAACAGCATACAATACAGGGATGGGCTCTGCTGTTGCACATTCTGCTGGACATGACGGACACATGTTGTGCCAGGCGCCCCATCACAACCATTGGTTTCTCACCGCCATGTAGGTGACATAAAGAGGTGCATTTGTCATGGCACATGTCCTCGAGATTCACCACGCCATGAGAATGGCAGCCGAATATCTGTTTGCAACTCAAAAACTATGTCTGGGCACGAACCATCCTGTTGGGCAAAAGAAGATGCTGGTATGGACAGCATTGTCTGTCATTGCGTCATTGACTTCTATGAGACTTGACTGATGCGGGTCAATTCGTGGTGATGATATCTGTTCAAGTGACCAAACGGTGGTACTCGCCATTGGCTACAAGATCCACAGAATATTTTGAAGCATTTTGCGTACAAGGCTGCCTTGCCACGGCTTCTCAACAATGCTGAAGAATAAATCCTGTGCTACAATTATACCAGAAAATGCAGGAACGTTTACACATTTTTGTGGACAGGTAGACAACATGAATGCTGCAGTATTCTGAGATGCGAAAATAGAACATGGCCACACCAAACACAGGCGCAGCACAGCTGCGCAGAAGCCACATTCTGGCAGGTGGGTTGAGTGGGAGAGAATGGCACACCTTCATGAATTCGAAAACACAGATTGACGACAGGTTTCCCGCAGTCCCATCAGCCCAGTGACCATGCCCAAAGACAGCAGTGTACGACACTGCCCACTTGGTCAATTATGGAAGCTCAGCAGTGCACGTGAGCTCGGTCGTGTGGGCAAACCCTGTGCCAGCAGACGCCGCATCGCGTCCAGCAGCTCCTCCCTGTTGACATGGCTCCCGAAATGCCTGTTTATGTGCACATTGCTAGGCATTGCCCGTTGTTATATGGTTCTTCTCGCGTTCCCTCTGCTGCTTATGATCTGTTTACGCAGCATTTCTTCGCTGTTCCATCAACAGCGTTTGACTGTTGTGCGCACAGTTCGTGTGGGGCTGGCATATTGGAACAAGCACCCCCTGCAGATGTTCGCGTGCCCCTGTAATCTCTCAGGTGCAAGGGGCCCGTTTGGGCCTGCGTGAAGGAATGAAATGAAGGTGGATACCCACTGCAACACATGTGAATCAGTTTTGTTCTGTGTGGAGAATACTGCTACTCACTCCGCTACTGAAAGGGCACGTCCACTGCAGGACCTGCTCCCCCTTGTAAGACCCCCACTGGCCTGCCCCATATGCTTGCAAGGCAGCGGTCAAAACTTTCTCATGCGATCACCTCGATGTCAAAGTTATCAGCATCTGTGCCAGCAATCTCCCGGCAGCGTCCCATTTTCCGTTCAGTGAATTCAACTCCTCAGCCAACCTACTAGACCCACCAGCGCAACTTCAGATCCCCTGGAGAGCGCCAACTGCAGCCAACCCTTCGGAGGTGGTTCCCACGCAGACCAAAGGGCATGCTGGACAAGCGCTTCAATCAATCAGTGGTCGGGGCCAACTAGACAGCAGTACATCGTAAGTGCTCTGTTCTCAGTCACCTGCAGAGTTGTGTGTCCTTTCCCACTCACCACCTCGGCAGGGCCTTTATGACCTGTATGCCGCCGCTCACTTCAACTTGACCGCCCCAGCCTCCAGCACAAAGGTGTCAGGGTACTGTGCAAGAAACTTGCCGAGCTTCTTCACGAACTTGGGCTTTGGCGACACCTTGGGTCCCAAAGTCTCGAGCGACAATGGTCCACTGGCCTTCAAGGCGTTGACGACCTTCTTTTTGAAGTCGTCTTGCTCTGCATCGCACAGCACAGACAGTCCCATGAAGCCTCCAGCAAGGCATCAGCGCCACGTCAGGAACTCAAGCACATTCAGCGCTTTGGGGCAAAATGGTTACTTGGGTGTCGAAGCAGATTTCTGACAACCTGGACAGTTTTTTTCATCAGATTGCAGGAAGCTGGGTCAGCAAGAGCAGGTCAAAAAGAGTGGAGAAGGTCAAAAAGAGTGCTTGTATGCATTAGGTGCAGGTCGACTTGGGTCTCAACGATAGAAGCCTGGCTACTCAACAGCTCAGGCCAAAAGGCTTGCACCAGCACTCTGATACCTCTCAGCCAGTCACAGCCACGAGCCTCTGCACAAATTTCTCCTGGCACCAAATGGCCGACTGCATATGAATACGGCCAAAGTCCTGGTCAGTACCACATTGGTCCATGACATCACAGTCCTCCATGTTTTGTAACCAATATTTGAGGCAGGGACAAAAAGGGGGCAATCATAGGACACATTGGACCATTGACTGTGATAGAATAGGCCACCTTAGCATCAGGCTGCAGGTGTAGCAAAACCCTTGGCAACAGTTCAGACAATGCTTGCCTTGCTGCTTGCCCAGCCTTCTGGTCCAAGAAGAACATCACAAGTGCGACCACTGCGTTGGATAGGCCCCAGAACTGCAAACCCTAGAGTGCTGGAGTCCATACCCTTGTTGTGGACTTGGCAGTCCCAAACCCCAGGTCCGAATCAGAGTTTCTGCGGTGTTGGTAAAGCCCAGATACATGCAGGGGCACCAACAGATTCCCATTCAAGCAACGTATGATTGGGCACGTGGGTACATATAAGGGACAGAGTTGAACACACTTCAACATACACAGCCTGCAAGTACCTTGTTGTCATATCTCATGCCTGGAGAATTGCCATCACTCACCCTTGGGCGTTCCTTGAGTGGAGTTGGCTCCTGGGGTTGCAGTGGCAGGGGTAGCACTTGGCTTCTCCTTGCTCTGCTTGGCAGGTGTGGCCTTCACTTTCTTCTCAGGCTGTTTTTTTGGTGTTTTGTTTGAGGCCGGGCCTTCCACTGGGGCATTCCTGCCCTTTCCAGGCGTTGGTCTATTTGCAGCAGCCTCCTTGCCAGCAACATCAACCCGTTGCTTCTTTGACCTCAAAGGTTCAGAGGTGGTGTCGATGTTCCGTTTCTTCATCATCTGAAAGCATGCAAGATGTTGTGATTGGGTTGTCTACCAGCCATGGGACGAATTGTGCAAAGAAACCATTTAGACACAAGACAGCCAAAGACTCTGATTATTTCACCAAACACAGAGCATTCGATTGCTGGGAACAGAGCACTGAGGCGCTCAAGCATTGATACACCCAATGACAGGCTCAATAACACCCTGTCAGGAACTTTCAGAGTGATGAACTTCCATTTGCCAAAAAAAACATGCATCCATCACTTTGCTCAATTACTTCCTTCAGTGCCTTACACTGCCACAAAATGTTGAGAGATCCTAGACCCTCCATTTCCAATCCATCTGGGACAAGATGCACATGAAGGATTCAATGTCATGCAAGATCCAGAAACGAAATGGAAGGAAAGCAAAGCAGCATTGCAACAATGCTAACATTCGCACATGAGCTTGGCAGTCCGGAGCTGAACATACATTATATTAGTCCACCCACCTGCTGATGACCGCTTGCCTCCATGTCACTGTCCTCACTGTCTTCAATGTCCTCATCGTCCTCACTGTCTTCACTGTCATCGTCAAACGTTTGCTGTTTCGGCAAAATAACAGCACATAGATTTCAACAAGCAGATGAGCTATGCATTCCCCTTGTTCCAGCTTACTGGAACATCATCACGCCCATGAGTACTGTGGCCATCTCAGGACGGCAAGAAGATCTTAATGACAGGCCTAAGAGACCATTCCCATTCAGCTGAACCCATGTTGCCAACGTCCTTGTAAGTATGCTAGTTGATCTGGTTGTTTGGTTGGCTACTGCCAGGATCCCCTGGTGCTCAATTTGAACGATTCCCAGTTTCAGCATGGGTATAGATGATATCTTCACTCTCAGTGGAAATTTGTATCTTTCAATTACCTTCATATCCTCATCGCTTAAATCTTCACTTTCATCACTGTCATAATCTGGAAACAACAGAAAGAAACCTCAGCTACAGAGACTGAGGCACATGCCCCACACTGGCTCAAATCAAGGCATATCACTTTTGCAAGCAAGTGTTCACAATTTTGCCTATCGCCCCCATAATAACAATCGAGTGTGCCTCTATCAATGTGGTCAGCTGTCCTATCGCACTTGGAACATCCTCAATAATAGATGTATGCTGGTGTGTCTGTACTCAAATCAGCTGCCCTGTTAAATTCCAGGTAATGAATACCAAAGTTGGGGTCTAGAACTGGGTAGACAACAGGCATCGTTGCATGATTTGCCTCGATCAGCTGTCAAGACTCAGTGGCCAGGCTGCAGGAGTTGCTCAAGTACATTCTGGAAATGAATAGCAGGAATAAAGTGGTACAGAACTCTTGTAGGGAGGTTCCATACCATGTAGCCAACTGCTAACAACAGCGTTTCTCACACATTCTGTGATGACCCTGGAGACTTGTACTCAGTCTCTTACAGTGAATCTTGACCACAGAAGTTGTAAACACCTCTTACAGCCCCAAACTGTCTGCTGAGCAGGGTGATGCCCGCTGTATGCCCCTTCTTGCGCTTTCTCTCCAGGAACATGCCATAGGCCATGGGCTACACTGCTCTGTCCGAGCAAGGTTCAGAGGGAGTTGTGCAGCAGTTGACAACAGCAAAGTGATAACACAGTGTATATTATGAGCCCTAACATGCATTAGACACAAATCATTTGTGAATCTGACAGTGCACTGAGCAGAGTTCAATTTTTCAGCTTGTGCACAAAGGGGAAGGAGGGGAGGGGGCTTGATATACGTGGCGCTATACATCTGAAATGCTACAGCGTGCATTCCACATAGACAAACGCAAACAACGGTGGAGATTCTCCACTGGAGAACAAGCTTGCATCATGAATTGAGAAGCATGGAGTGAGTACCCAAGCCACAACGTTTCTTCATCCCATTCTTGGCAGTACATTCACACCTTCATCTTTCTCGTTAATGAACCTGTGCGCCTTTCCATTGCCCATCTGCAAAACTTGGGCCCTCTTCTTGGTCAAAGCCTGTGCAGAAGCACACTCTGAACTCAGTACATCAACTCTGCTCTGAAACAACAGGGCATGCAGGCAACTTAATGCACGTGTATCCAGGCAAATGGCTGCTTCCCAAGCGAGCTCGTATCAGAACACAGGCAGTCACCATGCCGCATCTGGTAGTGCAGGCTCTAACAGCAAGCACTTCATTAACACAGAGGAGACAACATGTAATAGGGAGATGCCAACACGCAACAGTGAATGAATCAATCACTTAAGAGGGCCACCCCAGGAAACGACGAATGTCTGTGGAAGTAAAAAGTGCCTATAGTGGAATTGTAATGGCAGTGCTTCATATCCATTGGCAAAAATTTCCACATCAGATTCTTCCTTTTCTTCTCTGTCGCTTCCCCATGGTGTGGCATTTCAGCACGCCCTTCACCCGCGACTGCAGCCAGAACTTCGAGCCACGCACGTGTTGGGAGAGAAATTGGCAACAGTAGAGTGCCCTTAGCATCTACTAAGGATACATTGCTGTCAATGTTCCATGACCACCTGGGAAGCGATTAAACACGAGTTGGATGCTGCTGCATCCTTCATCACTTTTCAGGCGCACGGATCTGTGTGGCATTTTGGACAAATGTGCTTAATCGCATGAACAACAAGCAGCAGTACTCCAGACAAACTTCAAACTTCATGTGGGGACAAATTTGCTCTCGACCAGATGACCCCAATGAACAGTTGCATTTACGCCAAGTGCGGTTCAGACACAGGGTATGCCTGCCAGCATGTCAGCTTGTGATTCTGAGTTCAGGACCTGGTTTTGGGCAGTTGGTTCAATCCACTCTGCAGGGACACAGCCACTGCATCTCGTAGATTTCCCAAAGGATTCTTTCCACAAAGGGCACAACGCCAACCAGGAGGGCCCTCATGGCCACCCAGGCTGCCTGTTTCTTTGTTGTAGTGAGCAGGGGTTCTTCTTCAAGCCACCCTTCACAACCCCCAGGCAGTTCACTCAAACCCCACCCCTCTCCAGGCAGCAGCATCAGCGACCAAGAAAGGCAACGCCGCCACGCTGCCGCCCGCCACATGTTGAGTCAATCATCGCAGCAAGAACTGGGGGATCAAAAAAACACGGTCCCCCTGTGAACTCCCCAGCAAGCCACCGCCTCCATAAACCCTTGTGAGCCCCTGGAGCTACATCAAACCAAAACCAGGAAGAAATGACGCAGAAATATGGGGGGACCGGGTCCAAACACCGAGCATAGGAAGCGACCCCACCGAATCGATCGGCACCGCGCCGGGCGCCTCGTCGCTGTCGTCGTCCTCCTCCTCACTCCCGCTCTCCTCCTCCTCCTCCTCACCCTCCTCCACGTCCGACAGCGCCTCCCCGTCCACGTATCCCTCCGGCATGTCCGGCATCCCGGGCAGCATCGCCCGGTAGCCCGTGATGTTCACGACGCCAGGTCCGTTGTGCGCGAAGCTCGCGGCCTCCGAGATCACGGTGTCCGTCTTGTACTGCGTCGCGCCGCCCGCGCCCAGCGTCACCAGCGTGAAGACCTTGCCGCCGGTCCTCAGCACCACCGTGTGGGGCCCATCGGGCGCGTCGGGGCCCAGCGCCAGGTTGGTCACGTGCACGAAGTGCGTGTCCGCATGTCCTCGCAGGTCCACGCTGACCTCTTTTCTGGGGGGCACGTTGACGCCCCAGAACTCCAGGTAGCCCGCCATCGGGGCGCCCCCGCCAAGCGCCGCGGTGGGGCTTGCAGGTGAGGGGGTGGGAGAGTCGTCGCCAGCCGCCGGCGCCGACTGGGCAGCGATGTGGGGGCTGGGCGGGGAAGTACTGTCGCCCACGGGCCCGTTAGTCACGGGGTGCAATTCTGGCAGGATCCTGGCCAGAGCAATGAACAATACAGTGGGGGGCCCGGTTTAGCGACCACTTGAATGGCGACCGGACAGGTTTAGCGACCACCTGAACGGCTCGTCACTATTCTGCAGTGCTTTATTTCACTGCGACAGGCCCCAGCGCCCGCGACTTGGGCGCTGTGACGAAGGCGCTGGCACCAAAAGCCAGTATGGGCCCGGTAGGCCGGGTGTAGCGTAGCCCCTACACCGGCGACCAGGATACCCCTTATACCAGCAGCCAGGGTACCTCCTACCCAGGCGGCTGCTGTGCCCCCTATCCCAGCGGCCAAGGAACCCCCTACCCGGTGGCCAGGGTACCCCCCATATTGGCAGACAGGGTACCCCCTACTATAGGATAAAGAGAATCGAGCCACGCAATGGTGGGCATATCTAGCGGTGTTTGGGGAAGCGCATGGGACACCTTGCAGGACTTGCAGTGCTGCTAGATCGCGTTAAGTACTGCTGAGGGGCTCAAAGTACTGCAGGGATTTAGCGACCACGGACAGGGTTGGCGACCACTCAGCCGGCTTGTCACCAGTGGTCGGTGAACCGGGACCCCCACTGTATACAGAAAATTTTCTATAATTTCTATTACATATTTTGTATGATTTTCTCTTCCTTGAAAGACAGAGAACGGAATGCCCTTTTGTAAACGTAGGCTGCGGAATAAAGTCATCGTCATCAAGAAATCTTACACAGCTAGGCGAAGGGGAAGGAAGTCTCCTTCTGGAATGAAACGGCTGCCTCCTTGCCTTGTCATGTACAATTTCATGACGATGATGATTGCAAAGGCTGAAATTTTCGAGTGATCCTTAAGGACTGTGGGCGCCCACCGGCCACAAACCCCGACGCGCACCCGAATCGCGACTACGCCTGGTGTTGCCGGCAGCCATGGCCTTCGCCAGCGCGTTTGCGGGGCTCCGGCTGCCGTCAGTCGCCGCGCCCGGCCGCTCGGAGGCAGCGCCGCGGACCGTCACCACGATGGCCAAGAAGAAAGGCGTGCGGATGATCGTGACGCTGGAGTGCACCGAGGCGCGGGCCCTGGGCAAGCCGCCGTCGCGCTACACAACCCAAAAGGTGAGGAGGGCAGAGGCTCTGGCGGCGGGGGGGGGTACGTGGCAGAGGCCAACGTGGGGGTCGGCCTGGCATTCCCAAGGCGGCGGTGGATTGAATCCGCGGGATGCTATTTGCATTTAGCTGGTCATGGCAAGAGAGGAAGACATGTCGCGGGCGACGTGGACGCCGCCTGGGCGTCGCGATGCAGGGTCTCTGGGGAGAATGGACTGGGCGGGGATCGGGGCGTGATGAACGGCCATCCTCCTGGAAGTTGTGTTTTCTTCCGAGGATAGGAGGGCGGCTTTCCGGGCCGTGGGTTGGTTGGGGTGGAGGCCGTCGGCGCGGCGCGCCCCGTCCAAGACAGGGCCTTCGCAACTTGCCGGAGTGCTTTTGGCGCGCTCGCGTCCGGGCAATCTTCTGTGATCACGAGGGCTGTTGGGCGGGCGAACGTCGCGATCCCCAATAGTGGGCGATGCATGATGTTGTGGGTGGCAATGCTATGGTGAGCTCTGCAGCCAGACAGATGCCCCTGGGAATGAGACTTTGAACGCATCCTTAACAAAGGGCACAAAACAGAAAGTGCCCTTCCTAGCATGGAGGCATAAATGGGGAATGTCACGCATGGTGCAGTGTTCAGGTGCCCGTGGGACGCATGCCACATATGCCTACCTCGCACTCTGCTTTGTTGCCCTTTTCTGTATTCTGTTCCGCTTCACTCACCGCCTATCTTCTATCCTCAGAACCGCCGCAACACTACTGGACGGTTGGAGCTCATGAAATACAACAAATACCTGCGAAGGCGCACTCTCCACAGGGAGATCAAGTGAAGAGTACCAGCATTGCAGCAGAGCGTCGCAGGAGCAGGGACTCACTCTGCGTCCCAAAGAATGTGCTGTTGATGAGTTCCAAATGCGATTCCAAGAATTGCAACGTGCATGCTGAAAGGGGCAACTTCTCTGTGCTTTGCCACCGGCACTGTGGATGATGTCAGCAAATGGACCCTTTGGCACCTGTGGCTGTGCTTGCAACTGTTAAGGGACTTCCATTGACTGCAAGGATGTACAGACTCAAAGAGAATCATGGTATTTCTTTGGATGGACAGATGCCACAGTGCCCCATGTGAGCATTTAGTAGAATCTGGTCGCAGAACTGAGATGGGCTATTGACGCTGGAGATTGTGAATTTTGGGGGGGATTGTCAATTGCGCTGGTCAACAAATGCTTGTATCTGGCCACTTGATGTACCTTGATTGGCGTCAGGCATTGTGAAGCCCTTCCATTTGAAGCACATTGTATGCATTCACAACAGATGGTGAGTGCTGTGTCTAGCAACACCAGGGACCTGTGGTCTACCTGGAGCATTGTTGTTGTATGGTTGCCAAGTGCAGCAGTTGTGGCTCTCCTGATCAGAAAGCTGCCACACCTGCTTAGTTGCCACAGCCTTCTCATTGTTTTCTCCCGTATCTGACATGGTGCCCTGGCCATCCCATATTCCACAACCATACATTTGGCATTGTGGGCTACCAAGCAAGATGCCACCAGGCAGTAAGGGAGTTTGGCTCTGGCATGTGATTGAGTACACACTTCAACATCAGAGGTCACCGCACTGTAAACACACCCCTTCAGGACAAGGCTGGTGTTGTTGTACATACCTCCTGTGCTGCTGCTCCAGGTACTCGAGCGAGTACCTGTAGAGGTAAACACTGTGGCGGCCCCAGTAACAACACTGATGGGAAGTCCCCCAAGGGGTTTACGGTATCTGTCAGATGTCGCAGAAAGTTCAGCACATTCTGTATGTTGCCAATCCTGTATGTGTTGCAGTAGCACCTCAAGTGCCACAGGGCGCTTCCCACAGGGTTATACTTCTGTTCGCGATTGATGGAGGCAGTGTTGGAGCGCTGACAAGACCGTTGACTGTGGCGTAATGATGGGACCGCCAATGGGAGCTGTCGACTCCGGCAAGAGGCGGTCCCTGGGATTCTGGGGCAGTCCCTCAGTCCAGGACCTGAGCTAAATTCTGGCAGCATAATTCGATAATTTCTGGAGACGAATCTGCTGAATTTGCCATCAGGATTATCTGTCTTCAATACCTTATGGATGTCGCATGCCAAGGAAAGAAGAGATTCGTCAGGTGTCCAGGACAGCCTGTCCGTTTAGCCCAAGGAAAGCAGTGCCAGTGACGGGTTCGGTGAAGGGCCTGAAGGGACTCTGAAAATCAGCCATTTCCTATGACTAATGTGCAACGCAATTCGACTCTTGAGGCAGGTGGTGATGCTGCATTGCAACACCGTCAAGGCTTCCAACTTCTGCGGTGTACGGTGTCGTGGGCACAACAGTGAGCCAAGAAATGCAGGACCTCTTTCTGGTGAACTACTTCATATGCCTGATTGTTGGGACCAGATGGGGCACAACCGGCTTGAGCATGCCGGAATGCCATATTTCGTTTCGGGCATTTAGGCCGTTTGATGAGTGGCAATGGAACGGCAGTGCACTACAGCGGCAGGTCCTATTTTCGTGGATTTTGGGGTATGAAGCGTTTCTGTTTTGTGTCCATGGCACTTGAATCCTACCAGTTCAGAAGCAGCAGCAGTGGCCGATAGGTGACAGTGAACTGCCTGCTGCTGTGTGGGGCCCTAGCAACTCATCTCTCTGGATGCTTGCAAGAATGATTTCCACTGCACTGGCCTGCATGATCCTTGCATATCCTGTGTCACTTGCCGACTCGTGCAGTATGTGCATCAGGACATTTAGCAGGAGCAATGGCACTAGTCAGGCTCCGCAATCAACTAAAAGCTTGCAGCACAAAATACAGAGGAAACGACAAGGGCTGCAAGCTTGGACCTTTGGGGGGCATTCCTTGATAGCGACGCCTCTGTATCATTCCGGTTGTCACGCAGCGGTTCTCCTAACCGTGCTTCTGACTGCGATTAGGAAGAACATGCTTTGAGGTCAATTTTAACAGCACCTGTGGCGGCTGTTCCTGTGCTCCTGGGACTTCCGGGTAGCACTCCGCGCGTTACTGCGCTTAGAGAATGAAATGTACCGTTCATTCAGCAACAGCCGCCTGGTGTTTGCGAGTTTGCTCAATGTGGAGCGCTCTGTTGGGGAAAAATCGTCTACTTCTGCGTTGATCGGGATGATGTTTTCAATTCCCAAAATGCAAGAAATGGTTGTTATGCGGGGCATTTGAAAAGTGCAAAGATGACTGTCCCGCATTCTGGCTCTGTAGCCTTGGCTGGTGAACTCAGCATCCGAGGGGTTGGGGACGATGATGGTAGAATTCTTTTCACCTCTAAGTGAAAAGCCTAGCTAGGCATGGGATCTCGTCCCTTCGTAGCGCTTAGCGTAAGCTTGGATGCCGCGGCTCGATCCAGGGAGGGACTTCCCTGGTTTTTAGTTCGGAGGCAGGCAAGACAATCACAACGTATTTCAATAACTGTGGTGCTCGTAGATCCTGTTCAGGTCTGCAGCATGGTGGGGGAAATTTAACCCCGGCAATATGTTTGTTCGACCAATCCTGGGCAACGATCAACCGCTCCATGCAGCGCTTGCTATGGTGCTAAACAGCTTTCAATGAATATAGTCTAATATGCTATGACAGACTGTACATGGAGCGCAGTACCCTTCCACGTCGAAACAGAGTTGCACTTCCTAAATATAAGTATCCGGCTGTGGCTATATCTCAGGATAAATCAGATCAGGATCGCTATCAGTATAATCAACAATGAGCGTGACAAGCCAGCCTTTGTTGTCCGAGAAACGTTTGCGGCCTGGCCCAAGATGTCCCTGGGCGACAGGGTGAGCGAGGCAGCAGCCAGCTGACCACGCGTCTGTTGGCTTGCTTTGCACTCCTGGCAAATAAGCACTGAAGAACGGGTTCTCGTGCAGCTGCTGGTGTTGCTAAAATACTAGACAGATCTGCATTCGCCTCAGGGGTGATAGTGCAAGGAAAGAGGATGACCGCTTGTGTTGCAACACGCTCGTAACGCATTCTTCCTGTTGTGGCGTGGCTTCCCGGGTTCTATGCAAAATGTTTGATCTGTAATGTTCGGCACTGTTTCCGGTTCCATCAAACCCGGCGCAATGCTCTGCGGATGGCTGTCCAGTAGACAGTGTCTACTGTGTAAATTTTACACAAGCTCAAAGGGCTCCCTGGATCGAAATGATTCATTGTCATTGAAGACTCGGTAGAGTCCATCTGGTCTTGGCATATGTGTTTAGACATGGCAGACACAAGATCAATGCATCCGATAGCCGTTCCACGCATTCTTATGCAATATCGCACTGAATCGGTATCGCGTTCATGGTACTCTGCAATGCTGGCAGGTTCTCAACTTCACTTCACCTGAACTACTGGTGGAAGTCGTGAATTGCACATTGCTTTACATTCAGAGACACAATACGTTTTTTTCCACTACTCAACTGCTGGAAAAAATATCATTCAAGTTCAGGTACTATAGGTGTTACAAAATTTGCAGAGTAAGCTTTCAAGGCATGAGCAAGTTGTTGAAGCACCCCAGAATCGCACAACCTCTACGACGTCTATTTCTACGTTAGGGCGCTGGTGCTCTGCTCCTTCCCGAGACCTGGAGGTGTTGAACTTGGGGTGGCAGCAATTACTGGCAGATCTTCAACATCGACGCTCATGATACGGCAGCGGGTATTATTTGACACTACAGTTTGTGGCCCTCAAAGGACACAAATCCAAGGCGAGATTTGTCGCTCAGCACACATTACGTGGCAGTCCCAAGCGGCGAACAATTGTACTGATTTATTCCATCCAGTGAGAAGTGTTGAAAAGAAAATAGTGCAATCGATTGTGAGGCCAGTAGCTGCGTTGCGCGTTAAGCATTGGCCAGCTTTGAATGATGTGACCATGGGAAAGAAGGACGTCAACAACGTTCATGACAAATCTTCAACCTGGTAGATGCCCTTCTTTCCCATGGCAATGCCATGAACAACGTAACAGCGCACCAGCAACTTCCTAAAATGTTCATATTATTTGTCTGGATATCAGTAAGATACTTTCCACTGATTCCAACTCATGGTAATTGACTATACTAACGCCAAAACACAAGGATATGCTGAAAGTGAGGTGCGCGTCCCGCCGCCGCCAACAACGAGTAACACTGTTCATCGACTTTGATTCACTCAAATATGTGACGCTTTGTCACATGTCATCATGTAAGCGATATTCTCATACTAATTAAAACTTTTTGACCGTCAATTAATGAATTTATGCTCATGCGCCAAAATGGGCAACTCTCGCACCGTCTACCACCAGGTTTCCAGCATCATCCAACACACACCACTAACCTAATTGCCTAGTCGCCACCGATCAAAATCACTAGGAAAAACAGGCCAGATGACACAGTCCTGACACGGTCTGCTCAAAATCCAACCGTGTACTTTCGGCAAATGTGGTCCCAAAAGTGCACAGTTATTACACACATTCACACAGTTTTAAGCGTGCATCCTAGGAAACCGTGTAATCTACGAACGAAGGGTACGGTTAAACTGTGAAAATAACACGAACGTGACTGCTAAATGCCGAACGTTTTCGAATCAACCTTTTCAATAATCGAACAGGTCCGTAGAATCCACAACGTTCGTCAGCAACAAAGGGCGTCCGTCAGCGTCAAACCGCCCTCCAGACACACATCCAAGAGAAACGGCGCCCCTTGGCCGTTGCCAACGACACACTCGCTTCGCGATGCGACACTCGCGCCGCGCACTTGCCGCGCGGGTGGCGACCGCTTGAGCGCCGCCGCTCGAGCCGCCGCCATCAGCAGGTCCAGGGGTACCCCCGCCGGGCGTTCCGCAGGCAG